CTTCTAATCGCTCTTTCTCATGCACCTTGAGTCCCAGCTCCTTTGCTACCCGTTGGAATGCTTTCTTGTCGACCTTGCCATCGTTGAGATTCATCCACATCATGTTCGTCTCCGTGGGTCTCATTAAAGACCCACCTAGACGTTCCCACATCATAGAAATATATTTTGCTCTCTCCTGACACCGTCTCAACTTGCCCCCTAAAAACACTTCTTTGAGTGCAACGCACATCGGCGCCGAAATGATCCCGGTTTGACGCAGTCCCCCACCGAAAAGCTTACGCATCCACCTCGCTCTTGTTATGAACTCCGCGTTCCCCACAATCACAGACCCGATGGGTGCACCCAGACCCTTGGTAAAACATAATGAAACGCTGTCGAAGCACTCGCAAAATTGACCAAGAGTACCTGCGCCCGCGACAACAGCCTCCCATAGCCTTGCACCGTCAAGGTGCATGTGTACTGGTGGATCTTGAAGTTTAGCCCATGCGGAAATATCTCGAATTTCGTCGAGGGGCATGATTGTTCCGAAAAGTGTGTTCTCGAGGCTTATAACGCGGGTGGGACAGTCATCTATGCACACAACATTAGCACACGTGTATCAACATGTGAGTCCACTCACAGATATCCTTCTTGAATATGAAGTGCTTTTTGATGTCTTCTAGCGTCAAATGATGGCCGTTTGCTGGAATGACACCCTGAATCAGAGCGCCACAAAGAGTCGCTGCTCCACCTGCCTCCATGTTGAGGATATGGCTGCGATGGTCTGCAAGGATGGAGTATGGTGGGGTGGTGAGAGCTGTCCGGAGTGCCACCTGATTGCTCATAGTGCCAGAATATGTGAGGAGCGCTCTTTCGTGGCCTGTCAATTGAGCCATCCACTCCTGGAAATAGTTAGTAGTTGGATCCTCCATCATCTCGTCGTCGAGAAGTGTTGTGTTGACGATAGATTCGAGCATGCTCATATTCGGGGAGGTAACAAAATCAGACCGGAAGTCGTATGCGGCTCGACCGGGTGTACTCCAGTTGTTCTGTGGGAGGCCGGTATCGTGAACCTCCACTGGGTGTTCAGTCTGGCGGACAATGGTCATGGCTGCGTATGGTGGGAATTATTGCCCAGTCAAAAGAACCCCTAGAGTTGTTTGAGAATTGTAGCGAGGATAATGAGGGTGTACATCGTCACTCATTTATTATGCCGCTGCCGGGCAAAGTACGTGTCGGCTTTTTATCTTTTCGCACCAGTTTAGAGCTATTTCTTCCCGAAAGCTTCACCATAATCACGTCAGAGCCCTTAGGCCGTTTTCTATGCATGTAAGAAAAGTGACGCGTCAGATAAGAAATAATTCTGCATGTAAGAAACAGCTATGCACGTAAGAAGATCTGCGGCGTTGAAGCGGGACTGGAAGTAGCTATTTAGGTCTTCCTCCGCTGCAAGGTCATACATGGCGCATCAAGGTTTGATACAATGGCCTAATATGGCTAAGCCGTGGTAAGGCACCATGCACATGTCCATAAGAGTCCGATGCGGTGCGAGCAAACCACCTTGGCCTCAGGTGAATGTCTGACAGAGTCTGGGGTTTCCGATGTCTCCATGGAGTAATAACCACACGCACGGAGTAAACTGGAAAGTCACCAGCTCCCCCACATTATGCTATGGCCAATAATCGGAACGCTGAAACTCTAAGGGGGTTGGTAAGGCGATGTCATAGTACAACGGCGAGCGAGATATCGCACATGAGAGAGGGGTAATAGCAGTGGGGACATATATAGGGGTCGCCTGAGCAGTCAATCCTGAGGGCATATGTCACCGTTCGAAACAACGAAAGCTCCGTCCTCTGCCAATTTCACATGCTAAGCACAATGTCATCTCATCGGAAGGATAACATCGGCGAACTCATCGAATTCGCTCGTTCCCATTCCCCGTTTTACCAACGCGTTCTTGAACATGTTCCGGCAGGCGCCAAAAGTGTGACTGACCTTCCTGTCATCGACCCCGACGAATACTGGAAGGCGAACACGTCCAATCCCAATGGGGTAATGACTCGGCCTCTGATTGACGGCACAGTCATGCGCAGTGGCGGTTCCACTGGCACTCCCAAGCAAGTTGTCATGACCAAACAAGAGCTGTCAACTCATGGCAAAGTCACCGCCAATGCGATGGCTCATGGCTGTGGCTTCCTCCCTGGCGACCGTGTGGCAAACATGTCCTTCCACGGCTCTCTGTATGGAAGTTTCATGCTCTTGAATACAGCGCTACTCGAACTTCCTATACCAATTGTGCACTTGCCTATTAGCGGAAACGAATCCATTGAGATGATGGCCCACTATATGAAGAAATTTGATGCTACTGTCCTCATTGCTAACGTTTCAACCACGCGTCGTCTGGCGGAATACTTCACTTCCGTTAGCGAGACTCTTCCCAGTCTTCGGCTGATCTTGTACACGGGCGAATGCTTTACCAAGGAGCTCCGTCCAGTTTACCGTGCAGCCTTCCCGAACGCCACCATTTATGTCCGCGAGTACGGCGGTATCGATTTTGGACACGTGGGCATTCCAGCACAGCCCTTCAAGAATGAAGATGACGACATTAAGCCCATCTACAAAGTCTTGGCGCCTTTAGTTGTCTTTGAAATCTTGGACGAGGATGGCAATCCAATCATTACACCCGGAGTCAGGGGAAACGTGGTCATCACTGGCTTGCTGAAGAGGCAGCAACCATTGCTTCGCTACCCTGTTGGTGATATTGCTTCTTGGGTTGACTACGATGCGGAAACATTCTACATCCACGGACGTGATGCTGTCAGCATCAAGATCGCTACTACACATCTACCTGTCGCCTATCTTAGAGAATTGATCGTGAGGGTCCTTGGTCAAGGGAAGGCCTCAGGAAGCCAGTTCGTTGTGCGGCTTCTGAGAGAGACCCACGAGCAGGCGCTTGTCTTGAGGATTGTCGCGCCAGAGCCAGACAACGCATCCGTCATAGCGAATGCGTTTGAAGAAATCTTGTGCGAGGAGAGCCCTACCTGGAAGAAAAACCGGAAAGTGAAGAACATTGCGCCGTTGCAGATTGAATGGATCGAGGGCAGGGATCTGATTACGAATGCCGGCAGCGGGAAGTTACGCGACATTGTTGATGAGCGGTTTTCGAATGGAGTATGAAACGTCTACGTATAATTGTCATACTTTGCCAAGGCTGAGGGAAGTAGACCTATAACATAGCAAAATATATCAATCAACAACTGTAGCGTTGCCAAAAGTACCCGTAGGGGATTCCTCTCTTCAGCACTCTATCGACTATAGGCTAGAATAGGCTAATAAATTATAGTGTCGCAGACCCTTGTTTCGGACGGACTAGCACCTCAACTCAAACCTTCCCACGTAGGACGGCTATGAAATGCAAATGTCCCCGTTGCTGTTGCCGAAGGTTGGATCAAGCAATGTCCGAAACCTTTTAGCCAGTGCTTGTTTACTCTGCTCAGTATGGACCCTTAGTCCACAGTAGCCTAGACACTTGCTAACAAAAGCCACATAATCATTTCCCTATACTCCTCCCCCGCTCCTGCCGCTTTTGTCTGGCCCCCATCCTGAATCCTCTTTCCTCATGTCGAATTACCCGGAGAATCCTTTAGTTTTGTTATTTCAGCTCATGTGGGCGATCATCACACCAAACTCCAATTGTGATGCGACTCCAAATACCTGCCTTGCATGGGCAAAGCAAGTGGCAAACTCTCATTCAGATGACCCCTAATGTGCCCAGAAAATCATCAGCACAAATCTGGATCTCTTCAGATGAGATAAAATGGCGCGATTTTAGCGGCGGGTTGGACCGACGGATTAATATAGCAACGAGCCTGTCCGCCGATAATGATTAATACGACCGAATTACTCAAATGGCGACCATGGACCGGCTGCATCATGCAAGGGTCGTATGAAGCGGAGGAGCAGGGTCATCTTGCTTAGGCACGTGCTGCGGGAAGTCCCAGGAGCACTAGGTATTTCCCTGTTGGTAGGAATAATCCGAAGTCTAGATTCACCAAAACTGGGCTAATATAGACTAGGTCTAGTCGAACGTTCCTCCGCTGCAATTTGCACTAACGAGAAGGGTCCTGCTTTGATAGATAGTACTTTATCAGGATCAACCGGGCAGACGGCAAGACTGCCAAGCGGCTGACGCGATCTTCTCAGCAAGGCGCTCAGACTTGCCCACCATCACCAGAATGAGTACGCAAATAGACGTACAGGATACTGATCTTGCGGCGGGTGGGGGGGGGGGGGGGGGGCTTTTTCATGTCGCTACTGTGTCCTGGCTGTCCAGACCGCTCTAGTATTGGCTGATCTATCCGGGAAAGGGATCTGGGCAAACAACTGGAATGCCCCCCAGTTTCGAGTTGCGCCAATCAAGGCAGCTTTCTCATAGTACTTGAGAAAACGTGCGAGAACCTCTCCCCGGTATTGCTAGGAGATAGAGATATCGAGATTCTCATTACCCACCTGCATTTATAATGGTATGTGGCTCCTTATTGAGATGGCTCTTATCGCCTCACCTTGGTCTTTCCTGCTTTATGCTCGTCACTCTTTTGGGAATAACTACTAAATGTTTGTCGGGGCTTCAGCCAATTTTGGATTCTAAGTGTTGCTTTTGTTGGGTGGGATATTAGTTGGCTGATGGGTGTTCTGAATTTAGGGTAGACTTCGGCTTAATCCATTGCCGTCAATTGTTCAAGCCAAATCGTGGTATGGGTATATTTCATGGAGGCATATTCGCCGCTCAACGTGGTTACAGACTGACCGGCTTTATCTGAGCTTTCACAGGATGTGCGGGCGCAGAATGTGCTTTTTGTTTCACAGTGTATGGTATTGTAGACGAAACCACCCTCGATTGTGTTCATATCCAGCAATCATGACGCGCACGCCCTCCAAAAGAATTGGGGTTATTTTCCCAGCTCTAATAGGATCTACAATATCCAATACGCTAGTATGATTACGCCAAGAAGAGCAGGTTATACACCAGCTGCGTCGAGTATTTATTTCTGGGTGCTACTGCTTAGGAAGGCTAATATGTAAGCTATATCGAGTCATCACGACTATCAGCAAGGCTGTACTTACCTTTTGCAATCAACCATATAGTCTCAAAGCTCAATAATAGCTTGCAGATTTGACTTCTCTACCCCTTCAATTCTACGATGGACTCTTTCCTGGACCCCAATATGACAGAGATCAGATTACAGCCATGTCCATCACAACGAAAAAGAATCCAAAACCGCATGGCGCAGCGGAAATTTCGTGAGTCAATACCAATTCTTCCAACTATCAAGGTTCCAACCCAATAACTTTGTATCACTCTATAGGCGAAAAAGCTAAAGCCCAGAAACAATCACATCCTCCAGACAATCAAGCCAATACTATTGGCAATGGAAAAAGCCACGATGCACCGCCCAATCTGCCGTCACGGATAACGGACCCTGAGCCCCACGATAACGGGTATGCATACTTGACATCGGGGAAACATGTTGGACTTTTGTCTGCAGTCACCTGCAGTTTTCCAGGCCTCCTGGCAGACAATGTACAAGAGTCCAATCACAATATATGGGAAGATGTTATCTTCACACCACCGGAAAGTATCGAACAATCACCATATGACTTGCAGACATCAAGTCTTGAAGAGCAATTTTTCAAGTTCGTATAGCTTCTTCCTAAACAGAATCGTGCATATATCGTTCATTATCAGATAGCTTACTACCCTTGGGCCAAAATATAGGCCTTGTTCTCCTACCGGAGCGGACTGCAGTATCCTTGACCCCAATTTGGCGTTCTTCGGTAAACCACAAGACCAACAGAAAGGGCAACGTCCAGAGGAGAGGCATAGATGCAGACCTACAACTAATACCTGTCATTGTGATCGTGTTGGTATACTCTTGATTAATACATAACTTCTGGGACTAACCACCCCATCAAGGGACATCCTAATCCACCGAAGCACGCCCACAGAATCGTTCAGTACCAAAGAGCAAAGCTATTATACCAGACCGAACAGCTTCTCGAGAAAGTTGAGTCTCTATACGATGTCGGCATCTCGCTTGGTGTTTTGGTAGACAACAACCACCTCCGGGATCTTATTAGGAGAGCGATAGAAGGATTTCGTTCCCAGCGGGGTTTGGAAACGTACAATCGTGCTGAGGAACACCTTGGGGCGCAATAGATCAGGGGCTTCTACAGTATATGGATAATTTCAATGATAATTTTCTGGATTTGTCTCAATCGTCCTACTTAGGGGGATAGTTTCTCCTGATTGATTCTTAATTCTCAGATACACTATCCCGAATCTTCGTAATAGAAACCAATGGGATTTGGAGCAAGAGGTTGGCACTTTCTAAGCTACCTGAATTATCCTACTTTCTCCGGTGACATCTCAAATACGCCAAGATCTTTTTGACTGCAATATGAGATAGCATTTCTCAGGTTTGCCTCCAGAGGGGTTTCGAATCCAGTTTCCCAAGCGTGTCGGGGCCTTCCAAAGGCATCACCTCTGGTACCTTTTGGATTATCTTTACTGGAAATGGGGTCCAGGACCTTAAAGCAAGCGGAACCACCTTCCAAGCAATGATGTGTCCATATTAGTTATTACTTAGTGATTCATTGGGCATTGGTGGGGTTTGCTCAAGGAATAAAACCAACCTGATCGGGATGAAAGTGTGGATGTTGAACTCCGACCATGCAATTTCATTCCGACGGAGTAAATCGATGCTCGGAGTTCATTACCCACGAACGATCAACAATGATATTGCCAGATCTACTTTTCATTCCGTCTTATTCTGCACATTAAATTTAGGGATTTACTTGAATGCTAGATATCGAAATATCACTGGAACAAAGATACCTTGCTCACGCTAACTTGTTCGATCAACGTCCATTTCCGTCTTCATTTACCCAGCTCCCGTCGGATGTTTTTCAGGATTTAGACGGAGAGCCGAGCGTGCAAGGAATAGATAAAAATGGGCCAAGATGAAGAAATTATCAAGCGGGAAGAGTGTGCGAGTGATGGCGGTGCCGATGATAAACTTGTGAGTGCGCCAAAAACTCTGCCCAAATTAAAAATATTATACTAACGACTATAAGGTCACCTGGGACGGGCCTGATGACCCAGAAAACCCGAAGAATTGGTCTACTCGTCGGAAGTGGCTAGCAGTGATCTCAATCTCTGGCTTCGTTCTGATGAGTCCGCTTCCAACTACTATTGTCTCTCCGGCGATAGACACCATTGCTGAAGAACTCGATGTCACAGTGACAGTTCAAAAGCCTATGGTTATGTCCATATTTCTCCTTGGCTATGCCATTGGGCCCATGTTCATTAGTCCCTTGTCTGAGATCTGGGGACGAACACGGGTACTACAGTCATTCAACTTTGTGTTTCTGGTCTTCAATACTGCGTGCGGTGTGGCAAGGAGTATTGAGCAATTACTTGCCTTTCGGTTCTTTGCTGGACTGTTTGGAAGTTGTACTGTTGGTGTAGGTTACCAATTGCCCAAAGTATTTGTTTTATGTTGATGCTTAGCTTCAAGTATAGATCGGAGCTGGAACTCTCGGAGATCTGTTCCACGCCAAAGATCGCGGTAAGGCCATGGCAATCTACAGCATTTTCCCTCTTATGGGACAAGTCCTGGGCCCTATTGCTGGGGGCTTTTTGACAGAGCGCACGTCATGGCGTTGGGCGTTCTACGCCACGTCCATCATAGATGGCTGCGTCCAGCTCTTCGGCCTCCTCTTTCTGGACGAGTCATACACGCCCGTTCTTCTACGAAGGAAAAGGGACCGCCTTATAAAAAAAGGAGCCACAGGCCTCTATACAGAACACGACTTTCCAAGGGACTCTAAGCTTGAATTGATACGGACAATCATGATCCGCCCAATCAAGCTCCTCTCAACGCAACCCATAGTGCAAGTCATGGCACTGTATCAAGGCTATCTCTACGGTAACATCTACATTCTCTATTCCTCCATCGCAGTCCTCTGGACAACCCGTTACCACGAGAAGCTAGACATAGCATCACTCCACTACCTCGCACTGGGCCTAGGAACAGCCTTCGCAGCGGAAGTAGCAACCCACATCAACGACCGCATATTCCGCATTCTAACTAAGCGGAACGGCGGCAAAGGTCTACCTGAGTTCCGCATACCTATCATGATACCAGCCACCGTTGTCCTGTCTATCGGGCTGTTCTGGTACGGGTGGAGTGCGGAAGCCCGTATGTTCTGGCTGATGCCGGATATTGGCATTGCGCTGTTTGCGGCTGCTGCGTACATCTGCACGGTCTCGAATAATATCTACGTGGTGGATACGTATGGGCGGTACTCTGCTAGTGCTCTTGCTGCGACGTCGATGCTCCGGTGTCTGGCAGGATTTGTGTTTCCGTTGTTTTCTCCATATGCGTGAGTATTTCCTCCCTGCAAGTAGAGTGGCGTAGCTGACAAGGTCATAGATATGAACGGATAGGATATGGCTGGACTTCAAGCATACTGGGTATCATTGCATTGTGCATAGGCCTGACGGGTGTTATTTTCATTTGGAAGTTTGGGCATGTTCTAAGGAAGAAAAGCCCTTATTGTGCTAGTCGTGATGTTGATGATTGTTGACAGTTCGATGAAGCCGGTTGTATTGATTCTACTCCAATAAGTTGGGGTCAATGGGACAGCCTTCTAGAGTAGTTTCAACAGTGGTCTATTAATAAAGCATTCTAGTCAGACGTTATAGAATAGAGATCTCGCTTGCAGCTCCTAACCCCAGCATATGCGAACATAATCATTCTTCTGCAGCAGACGATTTAGTCTCCGGCGCATCAGTTCCCTGGGTCCAGCCCAAAAAAAATTCTGGCGGTGCCCATACCGCCAACCATACAACAAACTCTCCATCAATCTAACAAACAAATCGAACCAATCCTTCCAACTACCCAATCCGCTGCTTGCGTCTCACCCAAACCTCCTTCTCATCACCCCCACCCTCCTTCGGATCAGGCAGATCCCGCAACTGCACCTCCCAAACCTTGAGCTTGTAATTGCCCCGATCCGCCTGCCCAGAGAAAAGATCAAACGACCAATCATGCTTAGGGCACGTTATCCCCGCACTCAGCGTGATTCCAAAATCCTCAATGTCAAACAGGCTTCCCTGCGACAGTGGGAATGAGGAATGCGGACATTGCTATACCCAATCAGCTTTTTACACCAATTACCGTGCCAATGATGGCTAATTAGCTAATTCGTGTGACTTACATGATCAATAGCATGAACCTTGCCTTTATACTTGAACACAAGAACCTGATCCTTCAAATCCTCAAGCGGGCCATCAATCTCCGCTTCAACCGGGACGGAACTTGCACCCGGAATGGGTGTCTTCGGGATCGTAAAAGCCTTGCATTGCGATGTTACCCGGCAGTCGCCATTATTTTCTGGGGAGTCTACATCCGGGAAGTCCGAGGTTAGACCGATGCGCTGCCAGCCGCCTTTTCCTCCGCTTGATTGGGATCGGGAGAAAAAGGTGAACATGGTTGGTTGGTTGGGTGGCTTGTTTGGGTATTTAGTGTGGAATATATTGCATGGAAGGAAGGGGAAATTTGATGTGCTGCATGGATTGGATCAGATCAGATATCGGAACGCAGCTCACCTGGCGGCCCATGCTAATTTCTCGCCTGACCCGTGCTAACCGCTTTGGGTGATTATATAACCTATAATTAATATAGATCTTATTTGACCAGGGCAGGTTCAGCTTTTATTTCTTTGTTATTCCTATTCATATTATTACTGTATTCTAGCTCTTTCCTTCTCTTTCTATAAATTATAATGGCTCCTGAGATAATCTATCTGTTGTACTATACCTGCACTATTATGCCAATATTTAGTCAACATAGTCCCGTTGATGTAAGATCAAGTATTGTTTCTTCCTGAGTAGAATAAAAAGCAGATTGTCTATTATACAATGCCATAATCTTTTAGGCTATTTTTTTCAGAAATTACCTTTGCTGCGCAGCTCGATCTGCTGGTCAATAACATCCCTCGTCATCTGCTCCAATGACCGCCACTGCATCCCCAGTTCAGCCTCAGCCTTGGTCGTATCAACCGGCCAAGACTCCCCAGAAATATCGTTTGAGATCTTGAATCCCAGGTGAGGGTACTCCTTCTTCACAACTTCTGCCACGTCCTTCCAAGAGTTCTTCTTCCCAGCGAGCAAGTACGAGGACCTGTCTGGGATATTGTCGGCCAAGGCCTTGACATGGGCCTCGGCAACATCGTCGATATGAACAGCAGTGATATTGATCAGGGGTTTCCCATCAGCAACAGTGAGGAAGAAAAGACCGTTAGTGCCACTTAGATCCTCGGCAGTGGTCTGGAGGGCGTTGCGTCCAAAAACAAAGGCCGGGTGGAGAGTCACAAGGGAAAAAGTAGGGTTTTCGGTCTTCTTGAAGTCCCAACTTGCTTGATTTGCGAGAAGCTTAGATGCATGGTAGAGGTTCATGCTCGTTGCTTCATTGTTGGCACCAGTCAAGTCAGCGGTCTGATCGACTGACAAGTCCCAGTCATTGTTCTCTGTCGAATGCGGTCAATATCTAGGCAGAATACTCAAGTCAAAAGAATGCATCCAGCTCTGAGGTGCTCACCCTTGATAACCCCTCCCTCGGGACGACCCGACATAGGTATTAAAGCGGCAATTGAGGAAGTAATGACCACCTTCTTGATGCTGCTAACTTTAGCAGCCTCCTTTAGGATAGTCGTGGTGCCCATGACGGCTGGGCCGAAGTATGTCTCCGGGTTGGTTCCATGGGGCATGGGCGAAGCGACATGCAGCACATATTTAGCTCCATCCAGCTTTCCGGCAAAGGAAGACGGCTGTGTTATGTCTGGGGTGATGACAAATTCGATTCTGTCTTCATACTCAGAGAGTGCCGCCTTTAGTTTAGGAATCTGTTCTTCCTTGCGAACGCTAATGCGCAGACTATAGCCAGCTTGTAGAGTCTTGATAGCAACGGCACTGCCGATGAAGCCAGTTGCTCCAGTGATGAAGACGAGACCGGAGGACATAGTGATATGATCAGATGTAAGAATTTGGAAAAGTCTCAAGAGGGATAATATACCGTCACCTAGCTCTGAAGAAATGTGTGACCGAAACAGATGGAAGATATGTGGAATAATCGAGCCAGCTTGTTGGTTGCGTCTCTGTTGCAGACCTTGTCCCTTCACATTTTGAAAACCTTTATACCTTTGAAAACGAGCTTCTGTACAGCTTACAAATTTAGAAGAGGATGATTATCAACAAACGGCTGATTTGAAATGTAATATGCAGTACACCATATCCCGAGGCACATATTCGGGCCAAATAACTAATCATGAAATCATGAAACGATTAACGTTGATTACGGATGTGCCCGCCCTTTCAAGTTTTCCTTATACGTAAAGCTATTATTGACTATCTGAACAATAGTCCCATGTAAAATGCGTCAGTATCTAGAATATGGCAAAGCACGAGGAGCCGTACCTAAATCACGATAGAAGCTTCAAAAACTGGTCAAATTCAAAGTATTCGTGGAGTAGTCGAGTTTATACAGTGGGTTTTGGAAACAGGTTACTCCCCAGACACACGCGTCTATTCTCCAAAATATAGAATTCGAACTAAAACTCTGCCACTATGCATATCAGCCTCATTAGTCAAACGGGTAGTATTTAAGCATCCATCTGTGATTCTTTTGTAGTTTTACCCGGTCATCCCGTATGCAAATATCTGCTGGAATGCGAAAAGTGGGGTTGAGGAAACAATTTGGGGACATTAGATGCGGGTAGTTCAGGAATATCACTAATCACTGTGTGCCAATATTTCCTGGTGGTTCCATATATTTCTTATCAATACTTTAGTGGCTGAGGTTTGAGCCTATGCCATAATGGTTGTCAAAAAATATTCTGCGAATAAGTTCGAACGATTATTAATACTGCTGTGGCTCTGACTGACTCGGCGGGGGGCAACCAAGGCAACTGGGAATGTCTCGTCATCACCCCGACGGTTGGCATATGCAATCACAGTGTCCACTTTTGGCAAGATTGATGAAGGTTTTCGTGAACATATTGATTTGTAATAGAGAAGCCTATCTATGTATACACAGTACGCATCGATATTCTGTCGACTCTACTCATGGTGGATAATCGATTGTTCCCTTCTTCTACTTGCTCGCCCGCTGATCGGTCGATTTGTGATATTACCTACGCTCAGCTGTTCGTGTATCAAGCATCAGCTACAATGATAAGCCCCTTCAGAGGTGATTGGGCAGCAGAACCTAGAAGAGCATGTCAAGATCGATTGATTCAACTCATACCCTTGATGTCAACCAATTATAGCGATTCTGTCTTGGTCCCCGGTTCCACTCTTCTACACCAAATATACCAATGCGAACAGTCGGCGGGATGAAATAATCAAGCCGAACAACCATCATGAATCAGAGACTTAGAGTCTCCGCCACTCGCATGACGAGATCGTACCAACTTTGGGAAAAGGTTCACAGTTTCATGCGTAATATAGAGACTAAACCTCGGCAAGCTGGGCCCGATTAATCATCGTATAAATCACTACATAGTTAATCATCATCGAGAAAGGTCATTAGAGGGATCGAATAAATCAGGCACAGCTGCACATCGTGAGAATGGTCAAGCAATTATCGTTATATCTGGTCATTAGTCCACACATCCGGGGAATACTCAATTTTCATAGGAAAGGATGAGAGAAATTCTGGTTATCGGCGGAACTGGCGCTCAAGGCCTGCCGGTCATTAAAGGTGCGTGTCATAGCAGCTTTTCACCTTGCCTTTTAGTGTATACCTGACTCGTGATAGCCCTCTCCTCGAGCGGAAATTTCTCTGTCCGAGTGCTTACTCGAGACGCAAAGTCTGCTCGGGCGCAAGAAGTTGCACAACTTCCTAATGTGTCCCTAATTGAAGGCAGACAGGATAACCAGGAAGATCTGCATAAAGCTTTTAAGGGTGTTTACGGGGCATGGATCAACACCGATGGCTTTACCATCGGTGAGAAGAATGAGCTATTTTACGGCTGTCGAGCTTATGAAATCGCGCGGCACCACAGAGTGCAACACTATGTCTATGCTTGTACAGACTTCGCGCTCAAGCATGCGGACTGGGATGAAAATTACCATTGGGGCCATAATGATGCGAAAGGCAGAGTTGCAGATTATATCCTAGCTCAAGGTCAGGCTGGTATGAAAAGCTCTGTGCTTACAACTGGCCCGTATATGAACATGCTCTGGGATGGCATGTTTGTCCCTACCCAAGAGCCTGATGGGACATTTGTTTGGGCTAATCCCGCAAGTATGTCTCACTACCTTACCTGATATGAGCTCTACTAGTGACTAACTATGACGGTACTTCCGGCACAGAATCTGGTAAAATACCTCTTATAGCTCTAGAGGATGTTGGACATTATTCTCTTTGGCTCTTCAACAACTTGCCAGAATCCGCCGGGCTGAATCTCAAAATTGCAACGGATGAAGTTAGTTTCGCGGAATTAGCGGCAGCCTTCACTGAGGTGACAGGGAAGAAAGGGGTGCATCGGTATGTACCTCTTGAAGAGTACCTACCTATGGCAGAGCCGTTCCCAAATGCTCCAGCCAATTTTTACGCCGGTCCAAGTGCTGTGACGGATGAATCAACGATGACTTGGCGCCAGAACTTCTCAGCTTGGTGGAAATACTGGGGAGAGGGCCGGGCTGAGCACCGAGACTTCACGCTTCTGAATCGAATTCACCCTAATCGTATCAGTTCACTGAGTGATTGGATGAGAATGGTTCACTACAACGGGCAACGAAACAACGTGCTGAAGGGAGTTGAGGACCTGAAAAGATCTGCCGCAGTGATGCAGCAACAGCAAGCAACTTCTCTGGCCTGACCTAGGGAGCTAGTAGAATCCTGCCTAAGCGTTGGTTCTCACTCATCCGTGTGGGACTTGTTCGAAGATTCCACAATGCAATCTATTGCTTCAAAGTTTCAATAGCCTACTATCTTTCAGCCTCTAGTAAACTATTATACATATCTATTCTTCTTATCTTGAAAGGGAAAACAAAAAGTCATCACAATAAAGTAAGTACAAAATTTATGATAAAAAACTTACTGGGCTGGTCACTCAGTCTTAAAATATATAACAGAAGTTAATATCTAGAGAATAGGTTGTTTTCCTTTCTTTCTCTAGATTTATTAGTCTTTTGGATTATATAGACTTCTTCTTAGCTTATTTAGTGTGTAGTCTTTAGGTTGTCACATCAGGTGACCTGCGTACACGATCGGATATCATGGAGAAAACAGCTAATGTTGTTTCCGCTTGAGTCTGTGTGGGGCAGGTGATTTAATTGGGGTTGTTTGGCTGCAGGATATATTCGGATATACAAGGCGATATACTACCAAATTGTGCACTTTTGAATTGAGTTTGATTCACGATGCTATTCCAATGTATTGAACCATAATGTTCTTTTAACTCGGGTAATACGTAGGCTAGTATGGCATCAGAGCATGTAATAATGTGGAAATCACAGCTAAAATTCACATTCCAGGTGGAACGACAATGTACACATCCCTTTCAGGACAGTCTCCTGTGTGGAGGTTCCCATGGCATCCCAATAATCCCTATGCACATAGACACAAGAATAGCTAGCATAAACCCCATTGAAAAGAAGAACGAATTGAAGTCAAATTGGAGCTTGAAAAACGCAACGCTACCTGGCACAGAGATACCGGCCCAATCTTCCATATTGCCATGATTGATTGCATCTTTAATTACACCAATGTGTGCATAGCATTGAGTAGGTTGAGCCATCACTATCTTTGGCCCAATCGTTCCAATTTGGTACTCAATTAAGACTTGCAGTTTGTCATCCGTAGTATGTGAGAAGAGCAATGCTTTCAAAGCAAATAATCACCAACATACCATGTGTCCAAGAATAGGCCGGAGACTGGGACGAGCTATGTCAGCAGATCCACTCTATAGTTTCACTTGAGTATCGCTCCAGTCTTTTGTTCGAATTCTTTTTAGGAGTACTGATATACCCACAGTGTATTTCGCGGTTACTGTTTCGGGCGTCAGAAGGAGTGCTAGTAGTATTAAGCTTATTCAAGTATATCAAACGGCCTGTGCCTGAACTCAGAGAAGACCATCTGATAATGTGCCACGTCAGGTGCTGGTGATTAAGTGAGAGGACAGTCCCCTCTTATTATAATCTCAGATAGAGACGGTGTTAGCCAAATCGAAAATGGGCGATATGGTGGTGAACGTGGACATGGACGTGCCCTAGCTCTTTGGTTGCGGATACAGGACCACGATGCAATTTCCGAGACGATATTTTCAAACTCTAATGGTGATACCAAATCACCGAATGTGAAATGCTGCTTGGCAGGATATGTTGTAGGTAAGTAGTCATGGTTTGCGTTGAGATACCATCCATGTCCTCATCGCTCAGTTGGCCTATCATCTCTTCGAGCTCCTTGTCGAGACGCTTTTTTGTAGCCTCATCCTCTTCGGCAGTGAGGGACTTCAATGCTTCTTTTTCCTTAAGACGCTTGGAGTGGCGGGCCCCCTCCACTGGGTCACCTAGATATGTGTTTGCTGGATTGCGTTAGGTGCCATATGCTCATAATACAGCGGTAGGCTGTTTGGCTAGTATTATTTTTCGCTTTCTATAGAGATGATGATGCCTGGCTGGAGGGAAGAAAGTGCACCTGAATGAATCAAAACTTGTAGTTTTTCCCGCTCCCGGATGTACTTCACTGAAGTGTTTCAACCATGTCGTGGATGAACCGAGATTATACTTCTCTTATCTACTTATCTTTTGAAGGCTACCATGTTCCTCTCCAGAGTATGTAAGTGTTTGTCAATTCTTTCCACATGCCTTCTCTATGTCTCCTCTAATGTCGACATCATAAGGATCGTATCTTTTCATTGTCATCAGGCTATAACTTTCCACTTGTCAAGCGCTTTGTTCCATGTCTTGTAACCTGTGCGCTATTTTCCTAGGCATTGTGGTTCAATGGTGAAATTCCAAGAATTCCGTGCATCCAGGATGATTCATACCGAAACGGTACACCCCCCGGCAGGTGTGTCCAAATTTGCTTGTTCATTGCCAGATACACTGGCACATATACCTCTCCAGTGAGTCTGCCCTTTCGGATAACATTGTAAATGGGTCACGATGGAAGCACTCGTAGCTAAGCTCAACCGTTTGTACAATATCTCTTCCTCGTCACCGCCGATTCAATTGGGAGAAGCAGGACCGAGTACAGGACCATCTCTCGCCATAAAATGGTGCCACTGAACATAAAGGCGACATTCTGCTGGGGCTGTTTCTGGGCCCTAGTTCAGATTGCTCTTGTTGAGCTTGTTTATTAGTAGGGTCTAAATCCTCTATTAGCGCCCTGAGCTCCTCGAACATCACGAGTGCCGGGATTGTTACCGTTGTCATTTTCCAGCCCTACAATGTGATCAGGGTTATTGCACCGCCAAGCAGCAGGACGACCTCCTTGGCCCGCCTGGTTTTTGGTAAGGTGAAGATTCTTTGACTTGCTGATGGGACCAGATATATCAACTGTAAGTTACGAATAGCAAGCCCTTTTCTTTCAGATAATCTAGAGATCCTAATAGCAGGGCAACAGATCATGTGTCAGACGATTGAATAGCAACCTGTGGTTGAGTCCTTGACTCCTGGTTATTGCTGTAGACTGAAGCCGCCTTTGACTGAGAGATATTGATTACCAGGCCATAAAACCATACATCGAAATGAACAGATCTAGATATCCGTAGATATACCCTAGATGACGTCGAAATTTCTCCTGCTTTGAAGAGATGCTGCGGTGTCGTCATATTCCCTCGTATCCCAGGCAGTGCGGAGCGGCATGCGAGCGCTGGACATGGAACGTCCTGGAGACTAAGCAAGACATGGGAAAAGCATCTTTGATGAAGTAGTTAGTCCCGGGACCAATTACACGACGACATACAGTTTTTGTGCGCGATAGCTATCAGTTCTGGATATCCATCGGTTTGGTAGATTCTGGATCTAGCTATGACCAATATAGCCAAGGGAGATATAACTCTGAAACCAGTGTCTGAGAGTTATTGACTGGATCCTATTGAGAGGCCTAAGGATTGTCGATATGTATGCGTGAGTAGCCTTTAAGACAGTAATCTTTGCAAAATACCATAAGATCTGATATACTTAACTGGAGTATCTAGCTCAGGTCATGATAGCCAAGCAGTTGGCCTTGAGTGATAAACCCGCGTTGTTTTGTTGTTAGGAGCCCAGCTTGGCAGAACATAATTTTTATGGCACAGCACGCCATTATCTCTTACGAAAACACCACAGACTATATCACCGCCTTGTATTCCAGGAATTTGCTTGTCAGGGAAGCAATATACCATGAACATCCCGGCGTATCTGGCACACTTGTAAGGATGGTTGTGTTTAGCAGAAGCCTGGAACTTATGAGTTACCATCTGAACCGGAACAACGACAGCGTCCATGCTGAGCACCCGGCGCCGATAACTAGGGTTGAAATTTACATCGAGAGCCGTCCTTTCGATTATGATCGTGAGCTTGGAACTCGATAAATCAAACCATGTGACTGCAAATATAATAGTGTTCAGCACAACCCAAACCACCCCCAGCGCTAGGTGCGCTTTTCCGCAGCAGAAGCTTTCTTATGATCGCGCATCTCTCCCTCCTGCACGGCCTCGTCGGTTTCCCATGACTGTCCGCTACTCTTCAGAGTCTTCTGCCGAGGCCACGGGCCAGTCAGAACAGGACCTGGCAGCGGTGACAGCAGACTCCCGCCTACCGCTAGAATTTTGATGTGCCTTAACTTGCGCGATACTTGTCCTTACTGAACAAACCATACTGCTATAGAGCATTAGGCATTGAATAGCCTCAAACGTCGCCCACCACGGTATTTTGTGTATAGCAGATGTCATGTAGATCAAAACCAGCGGACGATGCCATGTCTGGCGTTTCTTTGGGCATAGCCATTTAGATGACCAGGTGTTTCACTCACCCCGCACCATTGCAAGGTATCTTCGTCGTCGGCAGACTTAACGGTATTCCTCAGCATTAACAATGTGAGAAAGTCAATACTCGAGGTCTACTTCGACCTTCCAAGACACGGTGACCTGAAGATTTGTTCAGGACGGATTGACACTCTCCAAGACATGATTTTCGAGCTTGAATACGGAGCTCGTAAACATATGCTTTGGAATGTTATCTTTGCCTCTCGTCTTTTCCATGGTGGAGACATGCGGGAAGAATTCGGCCACAGCCATCCCCTCATTATTGTCATCGTTGGGTTGTACGTTCGATTGGAGTGAGTAAGCCCGAAATTTAGAGTAGAACAATAAACATCAGTGCATCTATAACTGTTGAATTGTTCGAGTTGCAAGATTCATGAATATGCCGCTTAGTCACTGAAAAGTGGCTTTCTCACACCATCTGCAACTATATAAGTGTAACAGTTGCTGCATGATGTAATTCCTAGTAGTTGTTGTAGCCATTTGATCTGGATTTTCTTTAATTCATTCCTCCACCTAAGCCGCCACTTCCAGATGTCTGTGGTGATCTGTTAGCAGGAGTTTGGGCACTTATTTGCACAAGGTGTTTCAAATGCTAATGTATCTGGTTATCCATAATCATTAGGTACTGATGTTCTCTTCTGGGGATCGACGCCCATTCCTGTGCATCGCTAAGTGGTGACTGGGAGGAATAGATACAACCTCCTTCCCCTGTGGAACCATGGATGATCAACCTGGACTCAGACGGGCTATCCCGTGTCATTTTTTGACATGTAAAAGGGTATGGAATACGGAGAGTATCCAGAAGATAGGGTTCTTTCAATGATGTGAAGGGAAACACTACTTCTTCGAGCCTCCACTTTATATGGGCTGCGGTGGCTAGTTGGGTTATTGTTCGTATCCAATCCATAAATTAGGCTTTCGAAAAATGATAGTATTTTCAAGGATAACCGCAATCTCGGGAGCCAGCATCTGTAGGGCACTGCTTGATTTTATATCCGTTATAGATAAAGGCCTATTCATCTTGTGGATTGGCAAAAAGGCTGTCTGAATGAAGGAGAGGAAGATGAAGAGTAGAGAAGGAAAAGAGGTTTATATATAATATAAGCTACTGGTGAATAGATAATTCTTCTGGTAATGATACAGCGGAATGCACTGGGGGTCATACATCTGCTTCATGTGTACCAAAACTTATTGAATCGGCTCAGCAGCCATTGAATGATGCGGCCAAAGAGAAGAAGTCAAGGAAAGGGAATAAAATTGATCTAGTCAATCATGGACCGTATTCACATCAGGCCATCCGAAGCACATAAAGTAAATAGTAGAAGATCGATCATCAGATCTAGCCACGGCCAAACAATGTAGCAGACAAGAATGCAAGGCTAAGCGACAGAAACGGTTGCATTATTCGTTCAGCACAGCAGGACGAACACGAACCAGTATTAATACATTATAGTAGAAAAGAATAGGGGTGTGTCTATCCCGATATCAACACCCAGAGTAGGAAGAAGATCTGCACAAATTAGCTGCCATTCGACCAGCAGGTTGGGGGATGAACTTACCATTAGGACGCCAAACATCTTGGCGATGAGCCACCGGTTCCCGGATACCCGCGTCCAGTACTTCAGTAACTCGCGATGTGCTCCCTGCACATTATCGACAACGTCTTCCGTGTTGGCGTCTATCCGCTGGATCATGTCGGATTGCTCGCTGACCATCTGCGCAAGCTGACCGAAGATACCACCCAACTCGCTGATGGTGCGTTCAATCGCATCGATTGCCTCACCACGCCCTTGGATATAGGCGTTGCTCGTCTGGGCTTCCTCCATGACCAATAGTTGCTGATCTGAGTGCATAGAGGGGCGGCCGAGCGGAGATGGGTTCGAAGGTTCCAGAGTCAGTAGATCGGAAGCACCGCCCGGCTGAGGCGTCCGCCGCCCGGATGTGTTGTAGAGCGGGGAATCGGAGCGCTGCGTATCGAGGGCGGAATGTGTCTTTGAGGATACCGAGGAGACAAAGTTTTCGGTTCTGGATCGCGAGGCCTGGATGTTCTTTGTTCGCACTTCAAGCACATCTTTGAAGTTTGCTCCCACATCCGCCAATTTACCTTGCAGCATGACAACCACCTAATCTCATTAGCTTCGTATCGGTCTTGATGTGTGTCGTACGTACATTATCATTGTGCTCTCCTTCCTGATCCGCCTTCGACCGATTGCTCTTGGGATGTTGTGAAAGAGTAAGCGCTTGCAACGAGGCGATTTGCTGATTCAACGAGGCGAGATCTTGTTTGATCACAAACGTCAACTCGGAGATTTCAACCGGTCTGTCGTCAAAGAGCGTCTTTCGCTTGGCCACTGAGACAATGTTAACTCCATCAATCTAATCATCTAGAAGTCACTCACACTCGGCCAGTCTCTGAAGCTTAGCAGTTGTCGCCGTAATCCCTCGTCCAATTTCCACAGCTCTCCGGGCAAACTCCGACCTTCGTTTGCCACCCTGCCCATCTGCGGAACCATTTGCTTGTTTCCGCTGCGCATCTGTCAAAAGAGCCTGGCGCTGAGCGCTAGCTTTGTTGGCGGCCATGCGCTTCTGGGCTTGACCCAGAATGGCGTGGAACTCGCCGGTACGATCTTGAATGGACGGGCCGGTCATTGTGTAGATGGATGTAGAATAAATGAGGATTGGATGAAAGAAAGATAATTCGGTAGTCGGTCGCAATGCAAGCGAAGATGTACAGGGGTATAGCCGAATGCAGAACGAATGCGCGACGTGAGATTCCACGGAGTCGATCTAATCGATAAGGAGGCAACTGGAGACGTGTCCGTTGAGTGGTGGCGGTATAGCTAAGGTAGAACGAGAGCGGAGAAGCATAAATTGAAGGTAAAGTGGGAGTATTACAATAGGGCCATATCAATCAACCGAGACCAGCATCGACCACCGTAGAGGCACGGGGAGAGAAGATGGAGAGAGAGTGGAGGAGGAGCGAGAAGCCGACGTCGCCAGCCCGTCTTCCGTCCGTAATAGGAAAGGCGGAGGCTCAGCCACGTGCACCCCAGCCACTCCAGTTTCTCACTAGCCACAGGGGCAGCAACAGCCACCGGGTGCCCCAGGCGTCAGGCTGCCAACGGACCAAAGCAGCTTAACTGAAAGGAGTAGAGCTTCTCATTATTAGATCCGATGGAGTCTCAGGGGAACATCGCAATCAGCCTATCTTATCCCGCTGGCGATTGACTTCAACCAATTCCCTTCCGTACCCCCATCCCCAGACTCGTGTGCCTCCGTACCCATTCTGATCGCGATCGGACATAGCCCATCCCTTCCTTCGCTACTAAGAATAACTCCATTCCACGTAACGCCGCTGCTGCGCTGCCCCGTGGCTTGGGCTGTCATCGCCATCCTTGCTCCCACGTCATCTGGTGCAACCATCCTCTCTCGTTCTCCCGTGTTTTCCGGTCAACCTCGCAGCACCTTCGCATCGACGGTCGCTTCTCCTATACGCCTCTCAACCCAGGTCTTTGGCATGTGATATGCCGATCGGGCACTTACACCGACTATTCCATTAATGTTCATAATCGGGTTCACACGCTCAGACTAGTCAGCAATGGCACGCCAGTTCCAGCCTTACGAGCCGGAGCTTCACAAACTGTAGGCCATGCGTATATCTTGCTTGCAGGACCCCGCACATAACTAACGCTGCCCTGGATCTAGCTCCTCGAACACGTCCGACAGCCCCAGCTCTCCTTATCCACGCGGTGGCACCCCGCTATCCTTTAAGCCGAATGTGAACCGGGCGAAAACGAAACGTTGGGTCGAGGCCAAAAAATACTCATACGATGGGAATGATTGGGGAGACGATGAGTACGGCGAGTATGACGATGAGGATGAGACTCCGCCTGTCCCGCAGCCTCCCAGCATGAACCAAAGCACCGGAGATATCCCTAGCATGTTCACGAGAGACGTGTCTCGTCCACCCCTACCTTCAGTCGATCGGTCGAGATCCATGGACCAGGTGGCAACACTGGACGCAGCTGGTGCTGGAGCGCATCGTAGCCTCTCTGCAGACCGCATGGCGGCCGCTCCTAACAACAACCGAACTGTCCCAATTGTGCGGCCAGCCGAGATCTACAAGCGGATGAGGGCAGAGAGTGCTGCGAGACAACAGGCATCTGAGGCCGGATATTTTGTTGACAACCCGTCGGGTGCGGCGCCACCTGGAGCGCCAGTGTCTCAGGCTACTGCGTCGACCTCTCACGAACAACAGGGAGCGGCATCTCCCGGCGATCACATACTCCACCCGGCCCAGGACAGTACTGAGAGGCCGTCAGATGCTGGAAGCACGCCCCACGGCTCCCACTCTGCTGACGCATCTACAAATGAGCCTCCCATCATCCAGCTGCCAGATATGAAACGTCTTTCTGGATTTAATCCTGACCTCTCGCTCGGACCCCATTCCAACGCCCAGGTAGATCCAGAGTCGGAGGGCCAGGACCACAAACTACAGCACAATCCTTCCTTGGGATTCCGGTCGGTTGTTCATCAGGCTTTTGATGTGCCCGAGACCCCGAGCACCACGGTGGACAGCATTGCTCGGTCTAACAGCGATAGCACCTCGGTGATTAGCCCAATTATACCCCAGCACAACCCGAGCGAGACCAAGACTCCTACGATTGTAGAAGAACCCGAAACCATCTCGACACCCAAAGAAGAACCAGGAAACATGGTGTTCAAGCCTGGCCACCGTCGAGATTTGAGCCTTCCCAGCCCGAACAATAGCCCGTCTAGAACACCGGTTATCGCTAGCGTCGAAGGAACTGCACCGTCTGCGGTAGGAGAAATGTCGTCCAACACGCCAGACTCACCCCAAAACATCATCGCAAGCCCGCAGAAAGCTACGGTGCAACTGCCACAGCCTGATGAGGGTCTGCCCGCACCGCTTAGTGTTGGTGGCAGCCATCCTCCACCTGAGCCTACGATTACCACCGGGGATGGTGTCCCAGTTATCATTCCGTCCTTCAGTACAGACAACTCGCCCCAGGACACAGAGAGCGACCGGCTGCGGAAGGAAATTATTCGTTCTTTGAGCCGGGAAAATACCCCGTCGGAAGATCCAGACCATGAAGAGGAGCGCCGGCTGGACGCACCGCAGCAGGACAGCAGTCACATGCTGGATGAATACGAGCGTTATTGGACGAAGGAGGCCTTGCCCACTTCTCACGAGGGTGACCAACCTCCTGACTACGACAGTCCCTCAGCTGCCCTGCAGGATACGCCCGCACAGCCAACTCCTCTCATTGCTGCCCCAACAAGTTCCGCTCCAGCCCCGAAGCCGAAGCTGACCAGACGATTTTCATGGGAATCCTCGTCATCTGGGGAGCCTGCTCCCGAGACGGGTGTACAATCCCCGCCCGTGCCCATGCCTGGGCAATTCCCACCCACCGAGGATCTCGCCCAGCTGACAGAGATAGCCCCCAATCCTGAGCCCGTCGATGAGGAACGTGAAGCCAAGGAGCCGCCGTCTACGGAGAAGCCGAAGCTAACTATCGTGCCTCCCGTACCGGACGATCGAAGCATCATCTCCGATGGGCAATACCTGCCTGAAGTCTACAATGCAGAAGTCATTCCCGACTCTCATGCAGACGAGGGGCCCCAGACAGGCTCCGACCGGCGGTCGTCGCGAGTCATGTTCACGACCCCAGCGACTGTCGAGCCGACACTGCTTGGTTTCCGGGAAATCTTGGCGATGAAGACGTCGGAGGAACGCGTTCGGGCTTTCAACGACACCCGAGCGAAGTTTGCGACCATTAATACGGGTCTTAACCAATGGATTTCTGTCACAGTGCAGACACACCCCGAACACAATGATGTGGTTGAGAAGAGCACGAAACTGACGACCACCGGTGCCAAGGCGCCCGTCTCTCGAGGCAAGTTCCCGAAGCTGGCTGCCCTTGGTAAAGCTGATCTATCTCCATCCGGCTCGGGGCACGCGCGACGGCCCTCGGCGCCATTGGGGGCAATGATGAACAAACAGCAAGTAGAGCAACGCGGCAAAGAGTTGCTGCACACGGCAGGAGTTTTGGGAGGGCGTGCAGGCGAGGCCGCCAAGGGATTTTTTGCTCGCAGCCGGAGTAAGTTGAAGGGCGGAGGGAACGACAAGGTAGATTCTTAATCTCTTTACTGATAATGATGGGCGGTCTGGCCAGGGAGCGGCACGCTCGGCCTGTTCTTTTGTTTGTTTCTTGCCTGTGTGATTATGTTGCTTGATACCACGCTGTAATTGGTCAGATCTCAGTGCCTCAGAATGTGACATGAATGATGTCTTCACTCCTCCTTTTCGGGTTTATTCTGCTGCGTCTCATCGCCTCTAATGCGGGGATATGTAGGGATTTCAGTCCTCGCGCGGCTATCGTCGACCGGTGCCCCTGTCGGAGCTCCAGCAAGCAGCCGACCTGGATCCTGCAGGAACAAGGCCCAGCCACCAGCGCCATAGCGTCCACTTTGGAAGTCTCCCGGTCGCCGGCGCTTCTCGACCGGCCGGACATCATCGGCTGAGCTGGGGGGTGAAGCGGAAGGAAGTACCCGGTTCTGATAGCAACGCAGTAGCCATTGGTGAGGATCGCCGTAGGGCATCCATTCATTTGGGAGCTGTAGCCCGAGAGTCTTTCCCGTCTCGCAAACCGGCACCAGCCAGTGATCCTCGAAAGAGCGTCGCTAACGATGCGCACGAACAGCAACAAGAGAGACTCGATGACAGCGGGACTAGCCGGATCCAACTAGCCCTCAATGACGCGCCACTGGCCACCCTTGGTCAGCCCGGTCAGGCCGGACAAAGCGTATCGGGCCAATTGGATGGCGTGAGCGCCAGCGACCAAGCCAGTGTTGGAGGTGATGCTGCGTTGCCCCCTGCAGCCTTTGTTCAACCTCGGCGGGGGTCAGTCCAACCATCAATCTCGTCATTGGGCACCCAGGATGCGGTTGCTGATCCTCCCTTCGCCCTGGCGCTTAACGGTGAGTGCCTCGCTCGCCCGGGAAGTGAATCGGCTGAACTTACGGCTGTCGCCCTCGCAGCGCCTCTTGCCTCGTCCAGTCTCTCTCTGCCCTCCATCGTCGGCCACCACCCCGACACGGAGATGGATGCGACCGGCAATGATCGGTCTTTGCTGCGTCCGCTCAACGGTCGTCATCCACCTTCGGGTCACTTGCGAGTAAGCAGCATGTCGTCGCTGAGACCGAGCCGACCGTCGAGTCGGAATGCGACCTCAGCAGCGAATTCCCGATCGCAGGATTCCACCCCGCACGCGCGCCTGGCCGCACTCGAGATGAAGTACGGCGACAAAATCCGGGACATTCGTCGCATCTCCCTGGGTCCCAGCAGCCCATCGTCGGACCAGAAGCCGCCGCTTCTGGATCGATTGACAGTATGTCGCTGTCTTTGTTGAGTGGATGAATGTCTTGAAGGCTAACTGAACGTGATCCAGGGCCTCTTCCGCACCAACAACCTTCGTCCCCACCGACCCAAATCAAGGCAATCCAACCAAGCTTCCAGACCTGAAACTCCTATCCAGCGCTCCACGACGGCCTCTCCATCGCGTCCAATAAACCACACATCCAGCCATACCCGCTTTTATTCCCTCGACCACGCCCTCCCCAATGCCAGCGACAGTCTTTCCCATCTGCCGCCGAGTCTTCCCCGCATCCCCACCCCAGATTCCTTCCGCCAGGCCCAGAACCAAGCCATCTTCGTCCCGCATGCTTCCACCCCTACTCTTCCTAATACTTCATCCATTTCAGACGACTACCTCTATAGCAACAAAACTGTATATGAACCAAGTCACACTCCCACTAATGGTTCTCCAGAGCGCGGTCGAACCACCTCCCGCACGTACGTGCAGGAACTGCACCTCCGATCCCGCAGTCCCAAGGAAAGCGCGCCCCGACCGGAGGAGACAACTCTACCAAATACCGATGCGACTGACCCGGCGATTGAGCTGGGGCGGTTCGCACGCAAGCCGCGGACCAGTCGAGTGGGCGATCAAGAGTTGCCGTGGAAGTTGAGTCTGTCCGGACTGGGTGGTGATCCTGACGAGCATGATGAGAATGAGGTGACGGTCGAAGAGAGAGACAGAGCACGGAGGGAGGCCAGCAATGTACTCGAATCTGCCATCGCTGCCACTACCATTGATCAATCTCACATGCGGAACCCAGAGCCAACACGAGAGACCTCATTCGGAGTTTCACCCTCTTCACTTTCCACAATTCCAGAATCTGTCGCATCTCCCTCAATCGTGTCCCCATCCGAGCTTCCACCTCGCGACAACTCCTCTACGACAGCGCAAGTTTCATTCTCCGACGCTCAATCACGCGTCTCTCCATCCCCGTCCCCTACACCAAACCCGGATACAGAGGTCAAGACCGCAAGCTTATGCCGAGAACCCCAATGCATCAATACTCCTCCAACAGCAGACTCCAATCCCTCCCTCACCACAATAGAAACAGAATCCGGAGCCCGCACAGTATCCAATGGCCCCACACCCAGTACACAGACAAACACAAATCTAAACAGCCATCCCCACCGCCCCGCCCCTCCCCGAGCCCTTGTCTCCACTCCCGTTGAGCTCCCCGTCCCCTCAGCAGACGGGGGAGATGATCACGATAATGCCAGTGATGCTTCCAGCGAACCCGAGATTGTCATGTCGAGTACGGCATATCCAGGGCAGGAGTGGAGGCCGGTCGGATACATGGGATATGAATCGGCGATATAGTCTGCAATTTATCGATTGATCTTATGGATTTGTTGCTGCTGTGTCTATCTCATTCCTTTTGATTTGACATGTACAGTGCAAGTGTTGCCGGGGGAAGGCAAACAAGCTAGTAGTGGTGATTGTGAGTTTGAATGTGGTTGCTATTGCGGATGGAGATACCCACGTCGTGTCATACTTGCCTTTTGTCAGATAGTTAGTACTGCTAGTAGCTTATAGTATATTATCCCGCACTTGATATAAGGAGTTACCTTGACCCATGCGGACCTCTCTTATCCACTGCTGCTGCTTATGATAAGTTATTTATTATCGAAATTATTCTCAGAATCAGCGCATCTATTGGCACTCTTGCTGAGTCATTAACAGCCAGAAGAAGTCAGACACTTTCCTAGCACATGCTAGCATGTTTTACCATAACCAGAGACAAGCAGTATCTTATCATGTAAATCTTATATAAGAATCATAATTTTATCTCTTGTACTACATCCCGGATTCTTAGCTTTCGTGCAGTATAACTCCAGTTTATCAGCTATCGTGTATTATTATAAAAGTCTGTAGGAAAATCTCATGGGAAAAAACTATACAGAAATTCTTATTATACTCAGTATAGAGGCAGCGAAGCGAAAAGATATAAATAAGGAGTATACTCCATAACCTTTCTACTAAATGTATATTAGATATATTCTCCTTCCTGGCACTGGGCATGTATCTGGTTTTCTCTCTTCTACTGTGGTCACTATTTAGCAGCTGTAGGGATTGAATCTACTATACTCTGTACTTTAGCATGGAGTTGAGGAATTTCTCTTAAGACAGCTTTTGTAGGAGTGTCATCCAGGGTGGCTACCACTAGACCATCCGGCCACTGCTTATGATAGTGGTAGTGGTTGCACGAAGCTGTTATGTATGAGTGCCCAATCAATCCTTTCGACAAATAGTTGAATTCCGATGAAGCTGCAGCCAAAAGGCTAAGTCGTACACTTTGTGGATTATTCACCAGCCCTGCTAAAATACCCTGCAGCAGAACATGTACCAATTCTCTATACCAAAGTAAACTCCTCTTCGACTAGGTGTCCCTCATTCATCATCTGAATTGCCTCTCCGTCCATAATGCCATGCACGTAACTCTCACCAATGAAGATATAGTGAGACCCTTGCTTGCGGAGAATAACAGGCACAGAACAACCGAACAGAACACATACGAGATCTCCTTCTTGAGTCTTCGGCGGCACCAGGCCTATGTAACCCTTTGAGGAGATCATCAGCCGACGATATGAGGTTGCGCGCTCAATAGCGTAATTGAGCACTGACACACCATAACAGTAAATCTTTACGAACTCTTTGCCAATGACATAGCCAGTATCGTCCTCTTCAGTGGCTTCATCACTTGGTGTAAATTCATTCTCAATGGCAATGAGTTCATCAAAGTACAAGGGGTTAGCCATACCCCCATTTCTGTAGCCAATGGCCCATGTATCCGCCATCAACGTTCGGAGGTATGCGAGGGCCAGCGAGCCCCCACCGACATAGTCACGGCCAGTTGTTGACTCCCTTATCTTTTTCAGTAACTTGATCGACATTGTAACAAAGCTTTTTTGATATTGAAATTCATTCGACAACGATTCCCCCATTTCCATAAAAGTTTCAGACTTGGGAAGTGCATATATCCAGCTTGAGAGTTCCGGGATATGGGATGGGTTCTCAAAATACGATGTTAAGAGGGCCACCCACGGATCGGGTCTCGATGAAGACCATGCTCCGTGTTTATCAGGATCATATGTTACTGCCAGACAATCAATGGTGTCAACATAAATGCCTACAGCTTTTAGAGCCGGCACGTCGAGAAGCAATCTATATTCAGGAGACCTTGACCGAGATGCGTCATAGTCGGATGGGGGGATATTCCAAAAGTCTTTGACAAGTGATGGCTCTCCACCTGCGAACAAGCCAATCAAGGGGCTCGCAACGTTGGAGCTTTCGTTCGAGTAAAACTCCCAGTCAGGTACCCAGGTTGCCACCTAGGCTTCTCGCTTCCTTGGCTCATGCATATTATATCCATACCCCAATCCCTGATAGAATGCACAACAAGGCCAAGGCACACATCCAGTAGTGTGTTATTCACCGAATAGTCAGGATGTATAGCATTTCCTGGCCCACCACGTGCCAAACCGAGCAGGCTGAATATTTTGTCCCTGGGATCTGATGACCGCTGGCGTTTATTCCAAGCAAGGAGTTGCGTAAGCGATATTTCATGGCCTTTTTCCATTGCTTCTCTCGTTCTTTGGATCTTAATCACATCTTCAAGCTTCCCAATGGAGACTCGATCAAGGAAACTGGTAAAGTATGTGCTACCGAATAAAACTTTGGCAAGCCACGAGAGGGGCAACCACGTAATTTCATGATTTCCGCATTTCACTAGTAGTTCGGCAGATACCACGGCCTCTTGAAACACCCATGCTCTGGTCCACCAGGGTCGCCCCAGTATATCTGTGATCAGGAAATTAATGGTCTGACGTCGATCTTCGGTGCGTCTCACTTCTCGTATGAGCGGCTGGTCCCTTTGAGCAGGCCTATAGTCCTCGTAACTTTGATTGTAAAACCGTCGAGCGAGATCGAATAATGACTCGACACGTTCGTCCCCGTCACCCAGCCATATAACTGTCATATTACTTCCGTGGTAGATATCACGCATAATGCTCACTTGCGAAGCACGCTCTCCCAGGTCCTGCTGGTTGATGCATATCGCATCAATCCACATAGTCCGCGGAGTGTAGCGGCGTAGATGACGGAGGGCTGATTCGAGGTTTGCTGTAGCATTGAAATTACTTCCATTCACAATAATATTCTTCGTATTCGTGTGGTCTCCCCAGACATAGGAGAGTGTCTCATAGGGTTCCGAATCGGCTAGCGAAGTTTCACGGAGTGTGCACTGGATGTCATCTGTCCATTTACCAGGTTCGATAGTAACGAGACGGATTTGTTTCAATGTAGGGTCTAGCTTATGATACAATCCCTGAGATTGTGTCATAGTTAAAACCAAGGATTGACTCATATCGGCGTCGGTCATTGTGGAGAGAAAAACAAGTGGGCTGAAGGGCAGACGCGGCACACTGCATCCATTATGTTCTTAGGCACTAAATGAAGCCTGACGTGTCTGGACCCACCTTCCTGCAGCTTGAAGCCTACTATTATAGGTCAATGGGTGATACATGGAACATACTTCTTCTCGATTTGTACGTATATTGTCATATTCTCATTCACTCATTCTATCTGTTCCTACTATTTGTGTTGCTCGGTTTCCCATCACGAATGTAGATCCTCTAGAATAATATCATGTCGCATACTAGGCAAAGCACGTTGTAACTACAGGATTAGCGACATTTCTTACAACCTGTATGGACTATGAAAGAGTGGATTCCTCTGTCATCCCCGACTTCTTAAATAATGGTACTAGTTAGACAAGGCCAATTCACCTGACTCTCTACCCAAAAACATAGCTTACTATGAGTTATATATCACATACTCTACCACCACGCCTTCACCCCCTACCTCACAGTCCCCTCCACATCCACAACACGAACATCGAAATCCCTCTGCAAAAAGATCCCATGACACCGACTCCTCCACGGCCTCTGTGGCCTCAAAACCACCACATCCCACCTCCTCAACACCTCGACCACCACCTTACCCATCATCATCACCGCCAACCGAATCCCCAGGCATCTCGTACTCCCCCAGTTGAACATAAGCTCATGCACCCGATCCATACGCTGTCTCTGCTCGGCCGACGCCTCCAACCACCTCTCTGGACGAAACAAATCCACATCGGGCCCAAACACCTCGTTTCTTAGCAACCCCGGAAGATTGAGCCCTATGTTCGTACCTTCGGGGACGTATACTCCGTTCAGGGTATCGCCTCCGGGAGGGACTACACGTTCGCGTAGTGCCGTGATGGGTGGGAAGATGCGTAGGCCTTCGAGGATACAGGCTCGGAGGTAGGGGAGGGATTTGGTTTCTCGTTCGGTTATTATGGGGGTCGTGGTGGCTGCATTACGGATTTCGTCGGTTAGGCGTTTGTAGACGAGGGGGTTGGTGATGATGTGCAAAAGGAGGGCGCGGATGGAGGTGGCGGTTGTGTCGGAGCCGGCGAAGCTATTGTGGAATATTTATTAGTCAATGCTTGGTACATCGCATCCATTAACTGCACCTGATTTGGATGAAGAGGGTAATCAATTAGGGTTTACACACAGGGCAATTGTAACTTCTGTAACTGCTAATGATCCGTCGACGCCGTTGCGAAGCCAGGAATCTAGCATCGTCTCGTTGTGCTTCGAAGGAATGCCCTGCGCTATGCGGGCGTTGACTGTTTTCTGAGCGACCTATCGATACATGTCAGGGCAATGATTATCAACCCAGAACTTCTGCGAGCTGAAGTAGTATCTTACCCCCATGATTGCCCCGATGCCGCCCTTATCCTTAGGTGAGGGTAATACCCTACGCACTATCGGTATGTGGGAGATCATCTTGATCCAGGTGTTGACTTCAGTGAAGATAGCAAACTTCTCCACGATGGGTAGGCGGGTTTCCAGGACACTTTGAAATCCATAACAGTCTTCATGTTGGTCGATGAAGCCCAAGGGGTGGCCGAGACATAAGTGGCACACCATGTCAAACAACAGCCATTGTATACTTCGCGCCATGTCGTATGCAACGTGGCGGTCTTCTGTTGTCACGGCGTGTTTCTGAATAAAGTCCAGCCAGGTGAGGAGGTTCCGGTCGATGGCATGCTCCATCTGTGGAATGTCTTTGCCTTGGTACTTTGGGAGTCAGCTTTGGTGATACACATCTGAAAAGAATATTCATGAGCAGGAACAACTAACCCCAGGAGCCATCTTTGCTCTCAATGCATCATGCTTTTGCCGATGCCGCTCGGTAATTAGATTTGCATTATGGGGATCCAGTCGCAAGGCATCAAACCACGGCCCACGAGTGTACTTTGACTGCACTCCAAGTACCTTTCGAAAGATCAGAGGGTCATTCGTGATCAGGTGATTGGGTCCTATGCGGATGAGGGGACCTGGAGCTTGAATGCTTAGTTTCCTTGTCGCCTTACTGTCTCGTGAACTTAGAAATGATTCAACATACCGTACTCCCGATTAACCTGAAGATATATGTCCGCGCATCGCTCCGAATAAAGCGCTCTGAAAAGCCATAGACGAGTGTATGGTGCCCACCAAGGCCCGGGGATCTTTCTAAGATGCAGTGTCGATCTTATAATCCAGGCAACGATAACAACAGTGGCCACAATCGGCATGAATGTCCATGTCACGTCCCGTTGGACCGGGGCCTGAAATTCCTCTGCAAAGGCAGTCATATTGACTGCAGTATGAACGGGGGTCTTTCTCACACTGTATGACCGAGAGTCGGTGCGGGAATAGTAGATATGTGTGGTAAAAGAGCAGAGTGAAAGTAAACGGCTCGTCAGCCCTTGTTTACTTAACGAACATGACTAGATCTATGTGGTTTGCAGGGTACAATCGGACATATCGGAGCCGCATCTGGCAACAGCCATCTCGCTCGTCTGACCCTTCTCCCTTCTATGGCTACAAAAGCCGGAGGGATATCTAGTCGTAAGGCTCACAGCCATTTCAGTGACTCAACACCATCGCTTACGACTACGCGGACATTAGGGCCTCCTCTCGTGTTAGCCGTTTTGGGAGTAGGTTGTCGAGATGTTCTATGCAGTGCCGCAGCATTTCTGCATGGAAGTCCGGTATCAGAAGTTTCGAAAATTACGGATTGATATTGAACTTGTAACGCAATTTAGGTTCGCCCAGCCGGATATTTAGACATGATTGTGGTCTTCTCCGAGCCACAGCCCGTTAAGGGTCTAGTGCCCATAGCGCTAGCCGTGCCAGGTGCACGAGTCTTGTGAGATGTATCACTATCTTCATTCAACCCCGCTGATTACATTTCATACTATCTCCTAGTGGTCTAACGGAGAACTGAAGAAGTTTACTTTCTGGCAGTCTAATGTCTAATGAATACAGCAGTAGTGAATAAATAGCTAATAAAAACCTTCCTATTACTCACTCAACTTACCAATGGCAGCTCGCTTATTTGGCCCGCAGATGCTACCACCCAACATACCATTTAGTCTACAGGCAAATAATCTAATACTCCGTACAGCAGACACTATTAGTACTCCAAGTGGCTACATTCACCATCTACGTGGCCATACACAAAGCCAAGACTCGTATTGACAGGCTGAGATTGCCGATCCCGCTGATCATTGTATGAAAAAAACCATTGAACTCCGTGCCTTCCCCCGCAATATCTCCCCAGTATCTAGGGCTTACCAAATGCCAATGGACGTGGATTACCCCAAGTATCCGATGGCAGAAAACGCCAAGCACCAGCATGCTTCCGCGCGAACAGATAATGAACAAAGTGAGTGGAGAAGGGTGGCATAGCGGGCCACTGGTTTCCACCCTCGAAGGTTATGTCACGGAGGCCGAGAACCATGGGCGGGATAACATTCTAAATGTGTCATTTGTTATTGGTTAACAAAGTACTTCCTTGCCAGATAAAGTGGATGAAGTGACTTACCTTATCCTGTTTACCCGCCTCAGCCTCACAATCTTTGTATACTTTGAGCAAAGCAGGCCCGTCATACGGCTCCATGCTCATGAGGCTGGTGATTTCGTTGGCCAGATGCTCGCGAAAACTAGGCGCCATCTGCTCGATCAGGCTGCGCACGGTCGAGGCTTTGTAGTCAGTGGGCTTGGTTTCCGTCCCGTAGGCGAGAAGCTGCTTCAGGATGGGTTGGAAGGTATGGTGCTCGTTAACATTTCCTTCGAGAAAATTGGGCTTCTTTATCACTCCTTCAAATTGAGGGAACATTTGCTCTTCTTCCAGAGTGTGGTGATGGGATACCCATCCGGCCCAGCTGCGGAGGAAGACTAGGTAATCGGCGATGTCTTGCGACTCAATTATTTGCTCGGCTTGCAGATAGAGGGAGTTTAAACCTCGGAGCATGGCGTTGTGGGCGAATGCCATCTCGTTGGCGATGTAAAGAGCTTCATGTTTGGTCTGCTATTGTTAACTTTGCTTTTGTGGTTCCACCCTTTTTTCCCCGTCTAGATGGCACCCAAATAGAAGGGTTGAGTCGGACATGACCGAGGTCCTACTCACAATGTCCTGTGTTTTGGATGGTGTTTCGATCAACGGCCAAGGACCATCGGCCCACGGACGGGAAGTAGTGCCAGTAGCCATAGTTCAGCGATATGCTAGTGAGTGACAGCCGTTGACATGAAAGCCGTTAAATATCGCGAGAGGATGAGAGGGTCGAAGAAAAGAGAGAGATTTGGGGGTGAGAGTCTAGAGGTGGCTAGCTAGCTGATCCTTATGCATCTAGTTTAGTGTCTGAGTAATAGGACGACTTCTGTTGCTCTGACCTGGTCAAATAACCGAGAGCACCAATCATCTGGAAAGGAATCGAAAGGTAGTGTCGTATGTAAGATTATAGTGTGACACCTCGCAAAGAACAATCATGAACCAAGATAGACTCGAATGGCCCGTTCGAGTGATCTAAAGAGACAATCAGCCTAGCACTTGTGTTGGATTCAAAAATGAGCTACTGTTGGACTGTGTCCTATGTCTGTTTGGGAGACCCCCAATACTGAACTTGCAAATACCCCTTAAAGGCCCTTTGACATGCCACGCAGCTGTCAAACTATACACCATAACATATGCGTCCAAGTTAATATGTAGGCTTTTTCCCACCAGACGGAACGCACCCTTAAGCTTCCTTCCCACAACCCTAACTACACCTTCCACCCCTACAACTGGTCTTGAGCAATGGAGGCGCACCCACCCCCTCCACAAAAACACACCACCTCCTTCTGGCTCGTCTTCCTATCGCTCTGCCTCCTCTCCTTTGTGTCCGCATTAGATGGCGCAATCATAGCACCGCTCTCCCCAAAGTAACCGCCCCCCTCGGCGGCGAAACCGACTAGATCTGGATCGCCAACAGCTTCACCATCGCCCAGACAATCGTACAACCCTTTCTCGCCCAGCTCTGCGACATCTACGGCCGACGCAACCCCATCCTAATCTCAGTGGCCCTATTTCTCCTGGGCAGCGGCCTAGCCGGCGGCGCCTCCACAGTGGGCCAGTTGATCAGCGGTCGCACGGTTCAAGGGCTCGGCTCAGGCGGCATCTACATCCTCGTGGACCTAATTGTATGCGATCTAGTCCCCCAGCGCGAACGCGGCCAATACCTAGGCATAGCCCTCTCCCTCGCAGCCGTCGGCGCCGTCCTAGGCCCCGTTCTCGGCGGCGCGCTCGCCCAAGCCAACTGGCGCTGGGTCTTCTACCTCAACCTGCCCCTCGCCGGGCCCGTACTTCTGTTCATGCTGTTCTTCCTGCGCCTCGATGCCCCTCAATCCTCTTCCTCCAACACATCCCCTTCCATCCACCGCATCGACTGGCCCGGCAACATCCTCTTCGCCGGGTCCATCCTCTCCCAACTCCTCGCCCTCGTCGGCGGCGGCACCCTCCACCCCTGGACCTCCCCCTCCACCCTTGTCCCCCTAATCATCGGCATCATTGGCTGGATCCTCTTCCACATCTTCGAAGCCCTCCCACCAAAATACTGTCCCCATCCCTGCATACCTCCCCACCTCTTCTCCACCCGCAACAGCCTGCTCGGCTTCATCCTCGCCTTCGACGCCGCCCTCCTCATGCAATGGACCCTCTACTTCCTCCCTATCTACTTCCAGGGCGTGCAGCGCAAATCCCCACTAACATCAGGAATTGATCTCCTCCCCTACAGCGCCTTCCTAATCCCGTTCGCCATGGTCGCCGGCACGATCATGTCCCGCACGGGTCTCTGCCGCCCACTACACTTCACAGGCTTCGCAGCTCTCTCTCTCGCCCTGGGCCTCTTTACCCTACTCTCCGCTAACTCTCCCCGCGCCGCATGGGTCTGCGTCCAGCTCCCCGCCGCACTAGGCCAGGGCTTCCTAGCTACAACTATCCTCCCTGCTATTCAATCTTCTCTGGGTCCTGCCGATACAGCGAGTTCTACGGGAGTGTATGCGTTCCTGCAGTCGTTGGCGTTTGTGTGGGGCTCAACGGCTCCGGGAATTGTGTTTAATGCGAGGGTGGATGTTTATGCGTGGAGGATCATTGATGATGAGACGCTGAGAGAGAGGTTGCTGGATGGGAGGGCGTATGGTGCGGCGGCGGACTTTGCTGGGGATTGGGGGAAGGGGAATGGATATGGTGCAGAGGGAGCAGGTGAGGGAAGTATATCGGCTGGCGCTGAGGACGGTGTGGCTTGTAGGGTTGGCGTTTGCCTTGGTGTGGGTTGTGGTTGGGTTGGGGATGGGAGGGTGGTTTTGAGGGGGAGTTGGAGGAGAATGGGTACGGGTTAAGGGAGAAGGGAGATGTCCACAGGGATGAAGAGGAGATGGTTGTGGATGAGGCTGTGGGTGAGAAGGGGGGTGAGAGGGGGCTCAGGGCACTGAAGGTAGGGCTCGAGGTTAAGGTTTAGTGCTTACATTTCTGCAGATGCATGGTTCGGAGATTTGTTGATTAGGGTGTGCGGGGGTGTATGGGTGGTGATATTTCGTGTGTAGGTGTGTAGATGTAGAACGTAATAGATGCTTACTAGTAGATGATGATAGAATGATAGAAACAGGGCTCAAGGCAGATTTCTGCAAGTGCAGGTTCTTAAGCGAGGGTCTCTAAAGTGGTCTGCATATGACAAAATTTCCGAGATGTCGGTTAAGCTTTGCACTAGGAAATATCATACAAGTGGCTTGATTGCAAATACTACTCCGTAACCTGATGTGAATTACCGTAATGTGTCATGGTATTAATGTTCAGTTATCTATAAAGACTAGGAGCAGCACGAGCGCCTATAGATGTTCAGAACTTTGTAATCGGGGGCCAAAGACTGCATACACGAGCAAGTATCCACTCAACTCCCCTCGTTCTGATGTAGTCGACCCATCTCGTACCCCTCCGATTGAGCCGCATTCTTCGGCAGATCTGAGGAGCTGTGTAGATTGTGATAGGGGCCTCGCTGGCCTGATGACCCCTGGCTGAGTTGGGGATTAGGTGTCGCCGACGATGAGGACCCAAACGTCTTTCCGCCGTTGCTGCTACTCTTACTAGCATTCTGTGAAAAGCCGAGCAACCCAACTATGGACCCCGTAAGCGAGGAGAAGAATAATCGAGGTTGTCGCCTTGGCGTGCTGCCCGTGCCTCTAGAGACGGAGCCGTGCGAATGATTTCGATGTATTAGCCGCCACACGGCTGGCGAGCAACTGCAGATGATAGCGATGTTGAGCTCCACGATTCTGCCAAGAGGTGGAGGGCAGTCAGTCCAATGAGTCTGATCCTTTTCCTATTACCTGCCGTCTCTGCAGCGCCAAGACATGTCGTTCGGGGCGGAGGACTTACGAGGTAACATCGTATGCGCCTTCATTCCAGTCAGTATCGCTCCCAACGTGAAGCTGGACTCGGTAGTACATGCTAATGCAGCTGGCTAGTAGAGCTCTAAATGGCGTGTGCATTGTTAGTGAGAGACGATCCTCGTATATGTGGGCTGTCGGGATCTGCACATGATAGGCCAAATGTCCATATTCAGGGTCCAGGTGGGGCGGGTTGACACATACATACAACCAACACCGAATACCAAGGCGATATTCAGCCTTTTCTGCCGCGATAACTTCAACCTCCAGATGATAGGTTGGGGCAAGATCAGTGCATAGGCATCTAGTAGAATGTTCCCAGCCCCCTGCACGATAGCGTCCGGCAACGCCTTTGAACAGCGGTCGAACGTGTCCATGTCGAGATATGAGTGGCCCGCGCGCGGAGCACAGACAACCGCCGTCAGGATGAAGGTATGGATATATAGCAAGAAAGCCGCAATCAGACCAGCCCAACACGCCTTGGAGAAATTGCGGTGAAGTGGGGCATCGAAAAGACGGCGGTAGAGCACGAATACTGGCGCCCGTGAAAAGAAAAAGGCGAGCGGGTTAAAGAGATTCTGCGCCAAGCGCAGTCGCCAGTATTCTTGGTCGCTATACAGCCACGATAAAGGCACGTCCCACATGTGCCGAGCTGCATAGCTTACTGAGCGCACGAGGCCTTTTAGCACTGGCTATATTCATGGGAAGTGGATGCTTACAGTGGATCAGAAAACCCATATAGGCGAAAGTGCAGATCTGTCCCGAATTAAGTGTCAACTATTGTAACCGCGGAGACATGTGGAGATGCGGAGGCCGCGCTCGAGCCATCGTACCACGGCAAGTATGCATAGAACTAGAGACGATGTGAGTCAGATTGACAGGCAAGAGGAGGTGGTACATGGAATTCTCCATGGCTGAGAGTGCTTACCATCGTCTGCGGCAACCTTCTGTAGGCTCCGAGCAACAGAATACAGGCGAAGGGAGACAGCAATAGTTGTCAGGATGTAGAAGAGCGCGGCAAATCCAATGATCGTAGATTGTAATGACGGAGGATTGCCATACAGGTTGGGAGTCACCCCGGCGGGAGGGGTCCCCGCAGGAACCTGAGACATGTCTATGGTTGCAGACGCGGCTGCCATGGTGAAGAAAGTTGACGGTAGCTGAAAGGATTGTATTGCTTCCAGGAAGAAAGTCTTGAGGCGCAGCTATATACCGCAGAAGGACGAAAAGTATCGTGCATCATGCCGAGGTGCGAAGGATGTTGACCGGAGGGCAGACAGAAATCGGTCCGGGACGTTGTCTTATTTTGGAATTCTTCAGCCTTTGAAGGGGCCATTTTGGTCATCTTCATGATGATTCAATCTCTAGATAAGTGGAGTGGGCGTGGCGCAGGGTCAATGCAGAGGTTCCTGTTGAGGCAGCCACTGCCGGCACTGTTTAGGTACTGACGATTCGTATCGACGGTAGGATTGCAAATTACCACATTTCTTGCCATCTATGCAGAATAATACGAACAGAGACTCCAAGCGAAATGTCTAGTGCTTATCGCAGTATCTTCTGCCTCCTCGTCTCGGCAGATGGTCATTCGGCATACTGATGTTTGCACTGGAAATTGAGACCATTGACCATATCAGAACGCGGGCATGGAGCCACGCTTTCCCCTCCACTCCTTGTTAATGACTTGAATTATTCATTCCTTCCACTTCAATATCCTCCACCGACGAGCCTACATTGCTGTATCCTCCATTATGGAGTGGCAATTGTCATACCACAAAATCCCTCTTGGGGATGCAGAAAGCCCCCTAGCATTCACAGCAATATCTATAACTATTCTATGGTCACTCTGGTATCCCTGGCGCTTCTACATCGTTCCCGCCCTCTACCCTAATGAACCACGCATACTACCGTACTGGATTCCCTTTATTGGTGCGTCCCTTTACCCCTTCCACGTCTATGATCTTTCAATTAACGCACCATCAAACAGGCCATACAGTCTCCTTCGTACGATGCGCAGAAAATGTTTATCAAAGAGCAAAGTAAGCCACCACCCTTACCCCCTCTTCACCACCCCGGAAACTAAAACACAACGTATTCACATATAGTACCTACTTCCCCGATACCGAGCCCTACAGCGTCATCCTCATGGGAGGTACAACAGTCATCATCCGAGACATCAAAAACCTATCCAGCGTATGGAGAAACACCAGCGCCCTAAGCTATGACCCCTTCACCTCTCGCATGCTCATGGCCTTTGGCATAACACCCCACCACGTGCGAAACCTTTACAAACCAGATCCAGCGCGTCTGCTTCCTGACGAACAGACACGCGAGCGATCCCTGCTATCATGTGCCAATCCGAAGAAGCTCTCTTACATGCATTTGCAGAGCCAGTGGTTCAAGACACAGCTACTGCCGGGTGAGCACCTTAATGGATTATTAAATGCTTATCCGGTGTTTTTGTCTCGATTTCTTGATATCTCACTCCTACTTAAGGGTTTGGCTGGGGAGGTAACATCTTATAAATGTGATGGAGCCAATACTTCGGTGACACTTCCCCTGGGGCGCTTCTGTCGCTACGTCCTAGCGCAGAGCGCATTCCGAACCTTCTTCGGCGAGGAGCTCTTCGAGATCGAGCCGGAATTTACCCGCATCTACCAGCGCTGGGAAGACGCGAGCTGGAAGATCTTCTATAATTTCCCCCACTTCCTCGCGCCGGGGCTGCAAGCGGATCGCAAGCGTGTTATCGCGGCTCTCGCTGTATATCTGGATCTACCCGAATCCAAGAGAAAGAACACTGCTTGGATATTCGGAGCTATGAATTCCGAACTGACCAATTTGGGCTTGCCTGCCCATGACCGCGCGGGTCTTATCATGATGATCTGTTGGGCGTATGTTCATCCACAGCCCCAACAACCCTAACAATAAAACTGATTGGCAATAACAGAATAAACAACAATGCCCACTACATCGCCTTCTGGATGTTCGCACACATTCTCACCAACCCAATCCTAAAAGCATCCATTGAGAGCGAAATAACCGCCTGCTTCCCCAGCCCAACCTCAGACCAAGGATGCGACATGGAGAAACTATCCAGCGCATGTCCCCATCTCAATGCCCTCTGGGCTGAAGCTCTTCGACTGTACAATTTCTCGACGGCGGTGCGCAAAGCCGTGGATGACTGCTCCGTCGGAACTAAGATAATTCACAAAGGAGACCAAGTATTCGGTCCCGTGCGAAACTTCCACTTGGCTGAAGGTGTCTTCAGCACTGGAGCCGCTGAGTTCGACTACACCCGCTTCTTGAAGAATCCGAAGATCAGGCAGGCGAAGGAGTACTTCCCGTTCGGGGGTGGGCATACGCTGTGTCCGGGGAGGTATTTTGCTGAACGGGAGGTGTATTTGTTGGTTGCGATGAGTTTAAGAAGATTCAAGATGGAGGTCACGACTGCTGATGGGGGCGTTGTGGAGAGCCCGAAAGTTCCACACATTCGGATGGATTTGCCGTCGTTGGCGGCGGCAGCGCCGGCGGGGGATTTGTTTGTGACCGTGAGGAGTCGAGGATTGTTATAGGGGAAGCAGGGTATAGAAAGGAAAAGGTAAATGATACGTCGAAGATGTTGTTAGTATTATCACTCCAATAGCTCTATTTGTGGTGCTTCAGCCATGCAAATAATGTATGCGATTACAACGTGTCTGAGTAATGTACAATAAAACATCCTTTAGAGAAAGAGAGGCACTGAAATCAAACAGGCAGAGTCGAAAGCATAAATGCCCATCTATTCTCATTTGCGTCATGTCTGACAACCTAACGGGAAGATACGAGTAATCGATCGTCTCCACCTAATTCCCAGTCCAATATCGAGTCTCAATCAATGATTATACTTCAGTCAAATCCGTCAGTCACTAGCCATATGCGCAAAATATAGGGCCTTGAAGGGGAAAGCACGAAAAATGTAATAAATATATAACATCACATACCCAACCTCTCTCGCGGCCGACGGTACAGCATATGAATAGTGATCATGTCCAAAACCAGTACAGGAACAATCCCCAGACACTGATACACCGCTTCCTCAGTCCATCCATCACCATAGTAGGCATGCCAAGCTACAATAGGTAATGTAACAAGGTGGATGGCAATAAAGCCGGCAAGTTGGATAGTGATATTAGTCGACATGCCTAAGAAGTAGACCTGGGTCCACACGAGTATGCAAGTCCCTAAGCCGTCGAACAGACTATCCCAGAACGGTGCCCAGGCTGGCGACGGCGGGAGGGAAGAAAAAAATGCCTCGAGATCATCAAGAGCTAGTGGTCCGGTCGGTAGTAGTGAGAAAATTGCCATTTCGTTAGGATCTTCCGGTGCTTGAGCTGCATAGATTGGGTATTGGTCGGTTCGCTGGGGATAATATGGTCGGGGAAACAATATTGGTAAAGGGTGATTTGGTAAGGAGTATTCGTTGAGGAAGTGGAGGGGGAGGGGAGGGAAGGCTTTTCACTGATCAATTGATACCCTAAAGGCACACTCCCATGGGTAAGGCTGAGTCCGATATGTTTTATAATGGTCCAAGTGTCGAAGGTCCGTTAAATGTGGGTAAGGGAGGCCGAAACCTAGCGAATGGGCGGCTACCCTGCGGATCAATTTATTCATCGGCAATACTTAGGTTGCTTCGGTTCCGCTCCGATGAGAGACAACCTCAACAAGGGATATTGTTCCTATTGTAGTATACTGTAGACGTGGTAATGTTTTTGCCAAATTGCAAGATGTTTCGAACCAAATAAAATCACGTTTCCTTTCGATATTACACACCCACACCTACTTGGCCAGAACACGTGAAAGTTTTCAGTGCCAGACTGTCGACATATGAGATATGCATTTAGTCCATCATGTATTACTCTGTGTTAACACTGGAACGAAATGGAACTATCTGCTAGCTATTTTGTAGTGCTAATCTAATTAGCTTTGTAACATAGACGCTAACCTACAAGGCTTTGGAACGGGCTCCATAGAAATCTCCTTCTAGACATCTATGCCCAATCACCTCCGAATATACACTCATCCTAGATCGTGCGGAGTTGTCCTGACTTTTTAGTGTCCCTTAGGGAGCAGAATCTGGCTTCAGAGTGTTCTGGCATAATCACGTCCGCGAAAAGAGATATAAAATGGACGATTTCTCCCATCGCCTGTCTTCCCAAGTGCATTCGTTGTTTCGTTTTACAGAATCCCTATACATACTTCCCTCTCCTCTTCGGTTTTCCTATTTTTTCTCTTCCACCTTGTTTTACAACATGAAGTTTGCTAGCTATGGTTCATTGGCTCTATGCACCGTGTTGACCGAGGCCGCCAGCACCATCCCGGCAACGTGGAACCTTGCAAGTACAGTAGTTTCAAGTGTTCTTGCAACCAAATTTGGCACTCCTGGTAATGGCCTGATTGTTTCCGCCGGCCTCGGTACCATTCACATAATCGAGACGATCGAAGACTGCTTGCCTGCCGGAGAAAGCGGCAACAAGGAGGATAGCCTGACTTGTGCCAAGTCTGCCGTCTCCGCCGCCGTCCTCTTTGGCATGGCCTACAATAATTACAGGCAAGTGGGCTATTGGACAAAGCGTGAGGAGCTCGGTGGTCACTTCGCGCACATCGACAACTACTTCAGCCAGATGGGTGATGACATCTTTGTCTCGGACGTCCACTACCAAGGCATCCCACTCAACGTCACGCACTTGCCCCAGACCCTACGCAAGCGCAGCGACAATGTTGACTCAGAAGTCGTCCGCGCCCTGCATAACTCCAGCATGCCCCTGAGCTTCATCTACCAGAATAAGCGCGAAAACCATGTGCCCCTCCTTGTGGCCACCAACGGCACCCATTATCACATCGGACATCTAGCTCCTGCCAGCAGTGAGGACAACAGCTCAATTCACCAACGCCGCGGAGCTATCGACACAGCTTTCACCCATGTTGGTAGCGGCGGCATCAAGGTGCAGTGCAATTCTAAGGGCCCTGTGATGACGGAGCAGCAGGCGCAGGTGTTCCTGGATTCACCCATGTCGGGTACGAGCGCAAGCTCCTCGGCAATGAGCGTCTTTCTCAACGTCGTGAACTATGCCACCTTTGCGGGCTTTTCCTTCAATGAGTGGGTCAATGGGGATCTGAGTGGGCAGTGGGCCATGGAGGCAGAGAGCAATGGGTTCGGTACCAACTGGGAGACGAACTGGAACTGGTGTTTTGGAGTGGAGCAGGCTAGCTGTGATAAAGAGCTTTGAGTGGGTTCTTTAGTGTTATTTCGATTTGATCAAAAGTTTTTGTTTTTGTCATAGCGTTGGATGTGATGTGAAAGGTCAACGGTAGTGAGGTCAGGAACTTTCCTCGGGTAGAGTTTCTGGGTGAGGATACATAGTGGTAATGTATCTAGTTCTGAGAATTATGTTCTCTTAAATAAATATTTTTTTGGTCTTTCTCCGTCATGGCCGTTCAGTTCGCTCTGGGCGTCGAGCTTTACTTCGGTTCATAGCTAGCACTATACCCTTCAGTCACTGTTAAGCCCTCTTTGGCTAGTATGTGCCTACATTTATCGAACCCCACTTCGTCTCCCAAGAACATAAAATGAACCCTCACCATAAGACGGATCGTATCCGTTCTCTCTTGGGTCCCACGCACTGACCTTTCTATTATGTGGCATGCCATTGACTGATCCGCCGTTCGTACTTGGGGCCAATGCTCCACTGGTTTGATGAGACAAAACTCTTGGGTGGGGTGGTGGGGAAACGCTGCCCCTGAGGCTGAGATGGTCCTCATTGTTTTGTTCGTTGTGGTTGTTCTTTAGAGGCGTAGTTACTTCATCACATTAATTTTACATCCTCAGTCTTCCTTCATTATGGTGTCAATCTTTCTTGCTGTCTCTCTACCCGTAGCCGTTTTATGAACCGGTCAAGTGCTTTTGAATGTGGTTTCCATTCTTTCTTAGGACAAAATAGAACACAGTTCGGTTTGGTCAAAGTTAATCTCTTAAAAGGCGAGGGTGTTTATAAATCTACAGGTCAGAGCCAGGTGTGCTAGTGCCTACCACGAATCTGCTCAAGCCATCAAGATACGATGGAATCATAAGCGAATATTGGGTGATAATACGAACAGTTAGATAGTTACTCCAATTCAGTCCTCCATGGGAGTTATGGATTTCAACACAGATGATCACATCTACGATATATTTCATCCTGAAAGAGATCAAGGAATGAGTAGTAGTGAAACTGCATATGAGAGGTTTGGCGTATCAGAATAGTGCAATGATCCATATACGATGTAGCGGGTAGTACAGCATAAATGCTTGGAAGAAGTTGCGCGAGTGGCTATCATAGACAACGGATGCCCTTCTGGTCTAGCTAGAATATGGTTCTGCAGATTTTCCATCCCCTGTTTGTCCTATCGATTTACACGAATCTACCATATTTTGATGGAAGTAGTTATATGATGAGTCTAAACAATCAACTGGGACTACGGAAAATCCATTGGTCAAAGATTCTTATTGCCCTTGATTATAATAGAGCCGAGAAAATGCGGAAAATCGAACAAATCTTGATAAGCAGGTTTGGCCAGTACTTATGTAGTACTCTGGATCTGAACGAGGCAGGGCTCACACCATACAGATTACTTATTCTTAGCAGTAATTATACAGAGGCATTATCAGTAGTATAGTGAGAACAATTTGTGAATAAGAATAACAGCGTAAGGTTCTCTATGCTTTCATATAGAGCACACCATAGAGGAGAGGTAAATATACATCTAGATCCCTTTATACAGTCCAAACCCTAAGACCCTGTCTAACCCTCAAAAACATTTTGACTCAACTCCACCCCCATATCCTTGGCCAATCCCTGCATCTGCGCCTCAATGCTATCCTCCATACCGCCACCAAGTCTCAAGAACTGCCGCACCTTCGTGAACCAGAAAAACAAGTCCGTGCTGAACAGCACTACGCGGAACAGCAGATGACGACCAAAGTTCCTCAGCTTCTCCGACGCCGACAAGTCTGGAGACTCGACTAGTGCGCGGGACGCCCAAGTTCCGGTGATCTTGACGCGGTTGACGGGCGAGCCCAGGAACTGGTTATTGGCTTGAACGATGCGAAGGTTCCGGCCAATGAAGATCAGTGGGCGGGGCCATTTGGACTCATCGCCGAGGATGTCACGAATTGCTTTGCGGGCAGCCTGCTGCATTTCGTAGTGACGCGTGGCACGCTCGGATTTGCTGAGCCCTTCGAAGGAGCGGTGCGTCGAGAGGTCGCCGCCGCGGTAGGGGCGCATCAGGGTCGCAGAGGCGAAGAGGTCAGCATTCTGAACGCCCCAGCCGCGGACGATGGAGTTAAGAGTGGTGTTGTCAAAGGTGAGGAGAGCTTTCCAGAAGCGGGCATACTGGTGTCGGAATTCAGTGTCCATGTGGATGTAGAGTCCGTGATCGATGAGGACAAGCTCCGGGTGACCGGAAGGAGTCCGGCGGATGAAGATGTTGCCTGGGTGCGGATCGCAATGGACTATACCCCAGAGGAACATTTGTGCGGAGAAGAGGTCTACCATAGTAGTCATGACTTCCTTAAGAGAAAGGCCGAGACCAGCGCGAGCGTATCCACCGCGCCAGTGATCGCGCTCGGGCTTAATCTTGGTGGTAAGGTTCGGATTGCGAGCCACTTTGGCGACAGGGTCTTCGGCGTTGCGCGCATCGAGAGGCGTGCCATGGCAGCCTGGGGTGCCGCTGCGCCAACCGCCACGCCAAGTCCGCGTGATGGAATCCTTATCCCAGAGGCGGACACCTTCAATCCACTCGGCGGTCATCACACGCTTAGAGCTGAGCTCGCGGTAGACCTTGGGAATGTACACGCGGCCGCGGAGACGGGACTCTCCGGCGACCAAACGCGCCATGTGCTCGGAGTTGTCGGCCTCATTTTCAAAGTCGGTCTCCAGGGAGAGACGCTCCGACACATAGGGTACCAGGCTGTAGAATGGGATATCAAAGGTACGGCTATAAATCCAGGCAACGACTCTGTTCTCATTAGAATTTCGTGTGCGATACTGGGTGCGGGGTGGGGACTTACTTGAAAGCCCACAGATCCCATTTCAACTGTTGAGCGATTTCACGTTTCTGTATCTTGATTGCCACCTCACGGCCATCCGGAAGACGCGCCCAATGTACCTGTGCTACACTGGCACTCGCGCGCGCAGCCCGCTCCATAACGCCCTTGCCGGGCTCACCCGAGAAGGAGACGCCAAAAACCTCCTCAGCGGAGCGGCCAAAGTCCTCGCGGATGACCTTCTCGACATCTTTCCAGTCGTTCTGAGGGGCGTCATCGAACATGCGCGAGAACATCTTCTGAAACTCCGGGGGCAGGATGGCGGACTGCATAGCGATGGCTTGGCCGATCTTCAAGTACAGACCGCCATTGTGACGCAGGAGGTTGGACAGACGCTCAGCATTGCGGGTGTGTACGGCGTTGATGTCTCTGGCCAACGGCGGGTTGGGACGGAAGTTTATTTTGTAATCCAGGGCTACCAGAAGACCCAAGCTAAAGGTGCGAGCCGTTCGTGTCAGAGACGCGGCGTAGAATTGGGTGTCAAGGACGTAGACGGTGCCGGTGGCTAGCGAGAGGTAGAACAGCCGACGAAGCCATTTTCGGGTGCGATCGTAGGTTTTGGCCTTGGTAGGTCTACCTAGGGAGGCTGGCGAGGGGGGGACGAAAGGCTGGTAATGGCCTGCCTGGACATATTGACGGAGCTGCAAGAGAGGCTGACGGGGTGCACGAGGGGTGAGATGGACCCGCGGGCGAGCAAGCTGGGAGGGAAGGGAGCGCCAGGCGCGGGACACAGTGGCCGATGCCATCAGAACGAGGAGACAGGTATGAAGATTGTCATGGCGGGGGCATGTAAGAGGATAGTGAAGTCAATGGCGTGACAATGGCGAGAAGTAAGCGGATTTCAAAGAAGCAGAAACAGAGGGGGAAACGCAGATGACGTTGAAGGCGGAGAAGGAAGTCGGAGAGGATGACGAATTGCCCGATCGGGCCATTCGGGCGGAGAATTGAACCAAGATACACGTTTTCTCCCATCATTCCCACTCTCTTCAGATATATATCCCTTAGGAAAAGATAGTTTTTAAATAAAGATATAATAAAATAAAAAATAGAAAAGAAGTTGATGGTGTACAGTCCAAATTATCTCGACATATGAAATCAAGACAGTAGCTGTGGTTGTTCTCTCTGAGATTTCGCTATCAGTGTGGATCCCCTATTGGATCTAACCCTGAACTACTGTAGAAACAGTAGACCACAGATGTCTGGTGCTACTCAAAGATCATTTTCAAATCAGATACATTATTGTTATTCTTCCTACTCCAGGCCAAAGCAGAGTGCAGCGACAGAACATTACATGAATGATTTATGCACGATGGAATGCGAACGCATCGTAAAACTGGCATGATTCTTAAGAGCAGCAACGTTGCTCTTCATGTCCAGGTGAGATCAAGTCTTCCTCTGAGCATCACAGGGATGTTAGTGATGAGACCAAGGATTCGACACGCTAAACAAGACTACTAGTATTACCCTAGCCCAGTAGATGTACACAGTGTTAAAGTCCGATCTGCGTCCCAAGACTAAAGAGAAAGAAAGCATTCCAGAAGATCAATATGCCGATTCAGCAAAGCGGCCCACATAAACCGAAAGAGCAACGATAGGAGCGAACCGAGCTTCCAAGAGCAATGTGATCATGCACGGTAACCGGTTTGGCGCCAGGAGCTGTGACCCAAGGTCGGACAGCATGCCCATAATCGTGGCAATCTCCTGCGTTCAATACGGTGGATTCGACATGATTCTAAGCAAGTGTAGTCGCTCAACTTTTGTAAACCAAAGCCGAACAAAGCCAAATCACAACCAGACCTGTAATGATTGTCCCTAAAAGGACAGCCCCGAGCATGAGTGGAATGCTTGTTATACATCCTGCCGCGAGCTGAATGATCAAAGTGGACGAGGCTATCCCTGGTATACTGAAGAGCTGGCTGTGCACTACCGCTGCAGATACCGGAAACAGATAAAAAGCGCACATTTGTAACATCACACTTTCTTTACTCTCGCTTCTGCGCGCTTTGTATTGACTGAAGTCTCGGCAGCGGTCCATGTTGGAGATAGAAGAGGATAGAAACCGGCCATGATAAAAGATATCCGAATTCCATAACAGTGATCAGTATATACAACTGCCCGAGTCTATCAAAGGCCGAGATGTTACCATACCAAACCTATACAAGCTACTTCCTCATTGGGAACTCAAGATTCATCCCATGTACCAGAAGGCACGAGATGAATGTGTGACTCCTTGGGCGCGACGGTACTGAAATCCCCGACATAAAGTCTCATGAGATGGGCCACATTCTGACTTTCAGTAGCTATCTGGACAATGATCTCACAAGGCGAAAATTCGAACAGGCCGATTGCACACTGTTTTCTGCTATTCTTTGCTCAGACACTTCGTATGAGAAACTCTGCACGGTGGCCAAATACATGTCTTGGGTATGTTTAGAGCTTCTTACAATTGTCGTACTTTCTGACTGAGAATATGTAGTATTTCATCTGGGATGACTGTGAGTGTCCATTCTTTCCATTTATGATGGACTATGCTGAGGAATATGATTTCCGGTAAGTGTTCGATTGTGGTGCATTAAAGGACGACCGTCACGCGGCGGCTCTCTACCGAGATGCAAGTCTGGAATATTTCAAGTATAATCTTGTCCTAGAAGGCGAATATCCAGACTTGTCACATTTTCCAGTTGAACAACAGAAGGCATTGCGTTGCTGGGATGAAGTCGGGGCCCATATTCGGCAGGACTGTGACAGAGGTATGCTACATACACCAATATGTATGGTTCTGTATGCAGAGTCTGGCTGTCGAAGAAATTTGCCAGATCCTTCTCGAACAAATGCTGGGATATGTTTCCAGTGTTAGCAACGTTGACAGTTTGTTCAGCAGCAGTGCCATGCCATCGGTAAGGAGTTACTGGCAACGGAGAGAGCGGACAGCAGCTGTGTACTGTGTTATATGCACCTTTCCGTGAGTGTTCTGCTGTGTTTTCCGCTTTCTAGTCTTCTTACCAAGCAATCAACAAGCTTTGCATATGGATTCAATATTACGAGGGCTCACGTAGAGAATGAGCACATGTCCCGCATGTGGAAACATACATCTTACTTGGCTCACATGTAAGTCATCTGCTCGATGCTCTTCTCAATCATGGACACTAAATATGGCGTCAATATCGTCAGATCAAACGATATACACTCATTCCAAAAGGAATATGTATGCCTTGAGACTTATCCCTCATATTTTACACTCAACTGACACTGACAACACCAGAATGATGGACAGCTGGAGAACCTAATTCCGGTGCTTATGGCAAACACAGGACTTGATGTTAACCAGACAATGCAGCTCAGCTACCATATTTGTCGTTTGGAAGTAGAGGGCTTCTGCGCCAATGCAGATAGGCTCTGTGTGGGTGAGGATGCCCAAGGACGCCGTATTCGGGAAGTCTTTATAAATTGCTGTACAGACATGTTCATGGGACTCATACACTGGAGGTACTACAGACCCCTGACCAAACATAGAGTCATGGCTGACCTTTACCTAGTTATGTTAGCAAGCGCTGGATCAAGCAAACGGATATCAATCCTGATCAAACTATTACATTCCAGGTTGGATCTACAGGAGTTCCTCGATTGAACAATACTTGACAATGATGTGGCTGAACTTAAAAGGCTTATTGGGCAGATGTGAAGGGCCCTCTGGTCAAAAGGTTATTGTCAGCTAAACACATCACTACTAACTATCATGCGGGAGTCCTTTTAACGAAGAGAAGGTTAACCTAGCATTTTGGATCGTGGGGACACAACTATAATTATTCGACCAGAGTGATGAATCTTTGGAACATTTACATGTTCTTACCAGGTTTGAGATCACTTCAAATGTTACCGTGATGCCTAAGGAAGGTCATTACTACTAAATCAAAAGAAATGAGCATGCACTAGATTCAAGAATATTATGTTTCTCATTCTGTATTCTCTGTATACTGCCGTAAGAATCTATTAATGAGTGATACTAACAACGTAATTTCATCCAGTATAAAAGCCTACAATGGATGAGCGTTCGGAAATTCGGAAAGCTAATGGCTATACCATGTATCCCAAGTTGGAACCGCTTTGGATTATGAAATTGCGCTCTTCGAGTAACTAACTAGACCATCATCCATTTCCAATTGTTACTTATGGGCACTTTAGGGAAAGTCTGGAAATAGTCGGATAGTAGATAATGCTATTTGCTTAATATCTCCCCCCCCAAACCCAAAATAAATACTAACTACACCCCCAACAACTCCTCCACCCCCACCACCCCCATCCCCCCAAACCCCCCACCCAAACCCCTACAAACACCCGCATACTCCCTCATCTTCCCGGAATAATGACCTCCCACAACTCATCCTTCTTCAACCACTCCAACTGCTCGCGACACACCTCCTCCCTCGCCAACGGCAACAACGTGGGCAAATTACTCAGTGCCGCCCGCACAAACCCCTTCTTAAAGCACGTCCCAAACGCCGCCAACGTCTCATCATCAGAGCAAATATCCCTGCCCTGCAACAATGGCCCGCACTGTCGCTTAATCACATCCGCTACATCATCGCCCAGCCGCACCATCGCCTCCTCCTGCCGCGGGTTATCCACATGTTCCATGAGACTGCGCACCGCGGGCAGGAAGGTATTGTTGCGCGTCCATAGGTCCCAGTGCGGTACGGTAGGTTGGCATCCCTTGTCGCAGACTTCGCGCTGGAATTTGGTGAAAAGGTCGTTCGGGCGGCCTGTTAATGTGGTGAGGACGCGGATGCAGAGGGGGCTGAATTTGGCGGTGGTGAGGAGGGGGAGGAGGAGGAAGAGGGTGGTGGTGAGGGCGAGAGACGGCGGGAGGTGGAGGTGGAGGCGCATGGTGGGTGGTGGGTGGTGGTAGATTTGATGGCGGCCTGCGCGCTGTGCACGTAAAATCAAGAAACCGGTCTTAATTAACTCTGTATTATCGTAGACTTCGTCATGGAAAATAAAAAAAAAAATAAAGAAAAGATGGGTTGTTAGGAAGGAGGAAGAAAGCAAAACCTGGTTATGGTTTCTCCTCAAACTCCAGATTTCTTGTTCTCTTTTTCCCCTGATTGATCGACACCCCGCATGAAATCGGTCATCATCCATCAATCCCTCGGCATTCATCCTTCGGTCATGCCCTGCTTTTCGCATCATCATCAGCAGCAGCATCATTATCAGCATCATCAAATTATCAATAGTAATTCAAAATCGTAAATTCCCTCATGAAAAAAAAAATTCCAGGGCAATTCCACGCACAGACACCGAATATGATCTCTCATATTGACATCATGATCCGATCCCTCCCCTCGGCCTCCAGATTTTATCATCGCGGCCAGCGCGGGAACACCCGTTCAAAGTTCTGACAGCCACGCTGCAGAATCTGAAATGAAAGGGGAGCGGCAGCAGGAGCAGCAGGAGCAGGAGCCCTCTGGATCATCGTGACACACAGGAAACTAGTAGTGATGAGCACTTGCAGCAGGCGTCCGATGGTTCGTGCCATTGCATCTGATCTGTCCAGCTGGTGATATGATATGGAATGCGGGGATGGCTCGATCCGGATAATTAGGCATCGGGGCTGCGCGTGTTGTTTGTCGGTCATGTCTCGGGCTTTATCACGAAAGGGGAGTGTGTGAGCGTGATTTAGTAGATTAGCAGTATGCCAGTAGTAAGTCATGGGATGTATCGATCTGTCTGCCTGTCGGTCTGTCGGTCAGTTCCTCACGGGGCGTCTGCAGGGGGGGGGGTGTTGTGGGATGGGTTTCACGTCCAAACCTGTTCGAACAGGTTCGATCCTGCCAGTCCGTGTTTGTGCGCTGCTGTTGATTAGATTGGGTTTGGGGATTTGGGTTCATCCCTCCCTCCCTCGTTTGTCATGGGCCCTTTTCCCCCGTGTGGGTGGAGTCAAGTCGGGAACGAGTTGTCTACTGTACAAGTCTACGGCAGATCTTCGTCTCCTGAACCATACATACTATCTACTCCGTAGTCTATTTCATTTTCACTCGGTGATGAGAGTGGATGATGGAAGATGACCCTTGGGGTGTTGTTCACATGTCTTCATTAGAAAAGAATTATTATGTTACTCATCTGACCCAGTCAGTCAGGTTTAATCAATACCGAAACCGGCCGTGCCTGATTCTCCCTTGCTTCCCATGCCCGAAACTCCTCGCTAAACTCATCCCGAAAAGAAAAACTCCCAGTGCAACCGGTGACAAGAAATGTAACAAACAGATAGGAAATGTCTCAGAGAGTGATCCAGCATGCTGGACAATGTTGAGATGATGTGATAATGTGATGATGTTGGTGATAAACAAATGAAACAACCGTCATGCCAGACGGGTATCGCTCAGTAGCTATGCAGAATCTTGGTGCAAAGAAGAAGTCGTCGAAGAAAGTCGAAGAAAGAAAAAAGTTTATCGACAAAATAAAAATGTGAAAGAAGGAAGGCAATCAGGCCTGTCGGCGACGTCGCAATTCGTCGCGGTTGAGTAGTCGCCGAATTCGTGACACAATGCGGCATGCTGTGGAGTCTGCGCAGACGTTAGCGTGGCTCACATGCACCTTGTCTGACAGATCAGACTGGTTGGATTTGAAATCGGAGGCGACCGATGAAGGACGTGTGCACATACCACTGTTCCTGCGTAGCATCGACTTGGTCGAATAATGCTCCGACGCTTCGTCCACTGAAAGGCTGCTGTCATATCCAGCGTAGTGGTTGGCCTTGCACCACGGGTACTCGTCGGTTTGGAGCTGAAGAGCCACGACGTGTGGGTAGAGTGTCCCGAGAGGGTAGAGGATCTCTTCGGTGGAAAGTTCGCGCTTCATCTCGAAGCTCTGGCTAGTCTAGAAGGCATCAGTAATTGGTCTTCCATTCCTTTGGAACAAGATCACTCACATAAGGCTCGTAGTTGGTGCGGTAAGGCATGGTGAGTGAGTGAGCGAGGTAGCGACAGACGAGTATGGTGGTTGTAGAGGATAGTGTAGTAGTAGTTGGAAGAGTTGTAGAATGCACTGATCAATGCTATTATACACGTTCTGAAAGAGACTTTGTGATGGATAGAGAACGAGTGCCTTCCGTCCGGGAGAAACCTTGATGGTTATATAGCATGAGATAGCGAAGCATGTTGTGGTGGAGGGTGACGGTCAGCCACTCCGTCCGTAATCATTTAGAGTGGGGAAGCTTCAGCGCATGGCAGGGTGACCCTGGATTAACGCTGGGCTTGGCCGGCCTAAGATTTCCATTTTTACTATTTTCTTTTTTCTCTTTAATCTCTGCAGCCTCCATGGCTGGCGGGCATGTCCACTGTGATGGATCTAATCGCCCGAATGATTTGAGTTTTAGCGGCAGTCATGATCTCATCATATCATAAGCCTGCGGGACTAGCGAACCAGCGATCAAGTAAAAACTGGGACAAATCGACTAAATCTGACTAGCGTCCTGACGAGCTGGGCCATGTCGGTCCGAAGACTAAGAGAGAGGCTATGATGGAGCGGCTATCCCGATCTCTCAGGTCCAGAATAGACATCCCAGCAAGCAGGTACCTACGAGCATTGTGAGCGCCCACTGAGCGGTTCGGCCAGGTTCGGTGGTCTCCACCCGTCAGGCACGCCAGGTCTCTCTAAACCGGATGAGGAGTAGGCTCGAAGCAGCGGCTGAAGCAGGCGAAGGCGGTGGACCCAGGGTTAGCGTGGACGCCAGGCCTCAACACGACGCTGGATTCAAGTCTGACTGGCTGACTGGCTGGTCGCTGCTGATCGGCGTCCAAACCACCGGTGTCTCCGATGGGCGATGGGCGATGGGCGATGGCCGCGCTGGCAGGCCTTCCCTCACTCCCCCTCCATCCCCTTGCATATTGGGGAGTCAGGTGCATCGGATCTCCTCCACGTTTGCAGTTCCTGGGGGGTTGCATATGTATGATGACTATGAGGGTAAGAGGGAGCGCATGCCTGTACTACCCAGGGGGGTGTTCGCAATCACCCGCATAAGCCAAGGTCATCAGGACCATGTGTAAGATTGAGAGAGTTACTACTAGTAGGTAATCATGTGTCATGATTGCGTCGTCTATGGGTGCGGGGATGCCAGAGGAGCTGTCACAGATCGGTGTCGACTATTGATTCTCCATTGACTGGGGGGGGCAGAGTAGTGGGCAGAGTAATTAGTCTGGTCTGGGAGACAACAAGTTGTGGTCAAGGTTAGTCCAGGTCGCCGATGACCAGGACCACACTTAGGTTTGCAGGCGGTGGATGGGCTTTGACCCAGACCCAGGACATGGGTAACTCAAGAAGGCACTAGATGGGAGACTTGCTAAACTCACACGGTCGCATATTAGTTTCCCATTGGCGCCGGTCGCTTTATTAAACGCAATCAACGATAGATTAAACCATGGGTGAGCGGGTTGAGGGGAAGGAGGATAAGCGAAGGAGAAGCAGACCCCGGTGCTCTTGGCCATTCCAAATCCTTTTGTGTTAGCGTCGCTGGGGTTGTCCAGGTTCCCGGGATTGCAAATCTGTGGTGCAGAGAAACAATGGCCATACATCATAGAGGTGGATGATGGCTACTAGTAATGATCTGGTATAGTAGTATAGTAGTATTGAAGCACTAAGACATTAAGACACCAGGATTGACTCTGTACTCAGTAGTTCAAAGTAGTTCCAAGTCTCCCCCTGCGGTTCCTGGGATTTATCAGGGCAGTGATTGGGTCACGGTGCCTGGGCAGTAACCCAATGCGGCAAGACGGTGTTACCTCAGGCTCGGGTTTCACAGGGCCTTACAGCCTTAGGCCGGAATAGGGCTGCACAGCCACTGCGCCCCACCCGCGCCACATCACGAACTATGCCACTAGTCCTATCATAGTATCATCGTGGCTCGTTTTTCTGTGGCTGGAATGCTGTGGCTTGACCCATCCCCGTCAATAGCAGCAAATCCGTGATAGCCTCAGATCCTCGCATGGGCAATAGTTTGCGCGCCAGCTCCACCTGCCATGCGGATCCCCGTGAGCTTGCTCCCACCGTTCTTGGGCCTTGCATTTCCGCATGCTAATCCCCCATTTTTATCGGTCTGACCGTCGTTCCCAACATGGAGGAAAGGAGGAGTATAAGGAGGGCCTACCCTCGTGCTTGAAGTCCATGAATTCACCAATTCTCCATCTTCACCAGACTTCACTTCAATATTTCAAGTCTAGAGCCTCTCAGACATCATATGTTCTTCCTTCGTGGTCATGAATACAAACATGCATATGAATCTGTCCCCCTGCGGAAAAGACTCGAGGCCAACTTCACCTCCTCCCTACGTCGAATTTCACGACCCTTTCTCCGCCGCATCTCTGGCATATCAACCCCAAAGTAAGTCAACTTCCATGTTTTCCATCGAGTCACCTATCGTCTTGAAGCCATGCCAACCCCTCCGCAGAATCTCTTTGTCTTAACATGGACACTGAAACCAGTCCTGGTAGACCTGAACCTCCGGCCTTAGCTATTCCCATGACACCTTCGTCTCCAAGCTGGCCTGTCCACCCTGATCCTTGCCAATTTCAGGATCAACCCTTTATGCGCACAGGCACGGAAGAGGTTCCCGAGCCTGCTTCGGACCTTTGCCCGGACCTCCTTGACTCCTGGTACCCGAGGTACCTGGCATGCACGCAGTTCTTTGTTTCCTATGCGCAGCATACCCCGACAGTGCAGTCGTTGGCCGCATTTCTCAACATTCGACTGCCTTGCCAGCAATCTGGGGCCCAGGCAACCCATCCGTCATTACGCGCCTACATTCGGCGCCTCATCGTAACAGCACAGGATAGTCCTGAGGTGCTCGGCGCGTTCTTCGGAGAAGATTGGGTCGGGGGAGTGGGGAGCATTGTCAAGCAAGAGCGGGTGAATTATCTGTTTACGGCAAAGAGCGGCGGGTGGGCGTCAACAAAGGCGGCGTATGATATTCTGCCGGACGAGCAAACGCCATTCTTACGGCCATTGCGAGCAGCTGCAGAGGAAGAGTTACGCGAGGCGGAAGCCCGCTGG